CAAAGCACATAAATTTCAAAAGAGACTTTTTTTCCCCAGAAATACGGTTTTGAAAAGGGGAAGAATCAATCAGGTCTTGCAATATGCTTTCATTTGTACTCCATTTTCAAACTCTGCCTTTTTTCAGGGAATTTTTAAATTTAGAGATTTAACCAGTTACTTACACTTCACAGTGTGCTTTATTTACAAAACAGAGGAAAATTTAGAAAATGAAAAGTGCATTTTCAGAATGAATTGCTTCAGATTAACTCTTGTGAAATTCAATTCTGTGGATAAAAGAAAAACACATTATTATTATTATTAGTAGTAGTAGTAGTAGTACTACTACTACTACTACTACTAGTACTAGTACTACTACTAATAATAACAAAAGTAATTAATAAAACTCTATTTGACCTGAAATGACTTTTGGAGTAATTTCTGAAGTGAGTTTCTTTTCCACCCTATTATTGAGACCAATTTTTTTTTTAACATAGCAAATAAAAAAAAGTAACTGCCAGTCATAAGCTCATCTCGCTCCAACCTTCCAAAATGTCCAAAATGAATCTGATTCAAAACAATCACTCAACCAATTCATGACAAAATTAAGACTCCCAAAGAGGCACAGATGTGAAAACTTGAATTCTCCCCATTGTATGATTTTCTCGGAGCAAAGTCCCAAGAAGCAGTGGAGCCAGATGAACTGGCTGCTGCTGCCAAAGAGGGTTTTGTTCCTGCTCACGCCTCCCTCACTCCTTCTTCCCACTCCACCCTTGACTTCACCAGCCAGGCATGGGCCTTGCTGCCTACTCAGCCTCTGCTCAAAAGTTTCAGCTCACTAACAGTGCAAGAATAACCCCAATTTTATTCATGGGTTAGAGAGTTGTATCATGCCACTGAAGAGCCCAGTGGCATGACAGCAAAAAAAAATCCTACATGTGGCTGTGGGGTCAGGAGCTGTGGGGGAAAAAGAGCTTCTTGCTGCAGGAGGGACAAGCTGTTAAACCAGCCCAAAGCATACCCACAGAGATTCACTTTCATTCAGAGATTAAGGAAATCCAGCTATATATGCTTTCATTTGCTCTATCACTTTATGGTGGTTACCACAACCTAAGCACCATACTAACTGAAGGATTTTTCAGTAAAATGCAAAGTGGCTCAAATGAAATCCTGACTCTTCTACATCTACAAAGATTGCTAACATTGTAGATTTATCAGTACAAAAATAATAGTAAAAGAAAGCCTTAGAAATGTGTTTAGAATATGTATATTTATGGTATCAGATGCCTATGCAATAATGCAACTTTAAATATTAGCTGCTGTGACTTAATTCATATGCACTCATATATTATTGTAATTTAAAATTATAAAATCAGTAAGTAAACATGTATTTTAGAATATATATTTTAATGAATGTATAAAAATTGAAACATACAGAATATTTCAATCTCATTTAAAACATTTTTACTTACTTTGTGTATTTTAAGGGCTGTTGTTTAATACCAATGCTCCATTAAAATCTGGGTTCTTAAGTTCTGAGAATAAAGTATCATAAAGAACTGAAAATAATGACACGACTCAAAATTTCTTGTATTAGAATTTGAAAAATTTCTATTTCTATGAATATGAAATCAACTAAAACTAAGAAGCTCTTTTATTCCCAAAGGCTGAACAGTGTAAGACACCAATTTTCATTGCTAGGAGTCCTTGTGTCAGCCTGAGCGCTTTATGGACAGCAGAGCTTATTGATACAGGGATGTTTTGAGCTCACCCAAGGACTCCATGAAGGTTTCAGCATCCTGCTCTCCCTCCCTCCACAGCACTGGGACACTCCTGAAACTCCTGCTTACTTGGACTCTGAAGGAGAGGAGCTATGTCCTCAGTAGATGCTTCAGCATGCCTACAAATTTAAGAGATGCAGGATTTACTTTGTGGACATTTTATTCTATAATTATACTGAGAAATAAAGAAAAAACCCAATGAAAAGTCTGCATTAGAAACACATACAGATATTTTAGCATTACATATTTGCCCTACACTTATGTGGGTTCTAATGTTTATATTACAAAATAAACAAAATAAAGGAATTAATGTTAAAAGCTGTTAACATTAAACATTTAATGTTAACATTAAACATGATTTAAAAGAAATAAATTCTCCAGTTTGTTTTGCCTATTTTCAACAACACATTAATTTCTACTTATATGTATAATGTGCATTCTTGCAGTATTTGGGTAACACCCCACTCAAATAAAATATTTTTACTTTTGTTCTAAGAAGAATGCACTATAAAGCAGGAGTTTTAACTAAAAATCAGATCAAAAGCAACTGCATGGGTTACAGGCAACCTATGAGGTTTGAAGGTGGAGAGAACAGAGAGATTAATCCACTGTCCAAATATCAAATTTTAACTTGAATCAATGTCAGGTTATAACTTTGAAACAGTCATCAGGTTTTCAGCAGAATAAAAACTCAACCTAAAACACAATTGGTGAGAGCAAAGATCTCAGTTTCCTAAACCTTCTGCAAGTGTTGGTCACATCCAGGGAGGCACTACAAGCACTTCACTGACAAAAATGGAAGATTAAAGAAACCACAAAAACAACCATAGCAGTGAGGTCCCTGCACTGCAGCAGGGTGCAGCATCCCATAAACATCCCCTCCAGACGTTTGCCAATCTGCTGCTTTAAAGCCTACCAGAAATGAGTTTTCACCTCATCATTGGGTGCCTGCTGGAATGCTTTTTATCTTAATATTCAACAAAAATATTTTTCTTGTGAATAAAGGTAATACCTCCCATCCCAAGGGAAATATAACAACTGATAAACACTTTTTGTTGTAGCAATATTTTAGGTATGTGAAGGGAGAGTTCCTCCCTCAGACCTAATTTGTTCTAGACAGGAATACTCAGTTCTGTTTATGTATTTTCTTATATGCAATCTTGTTTCCATCTGCCCACTTCTTAAAATATTTTGCCCCAAATCACTGGCACTCAATAGAACAATTACTTTCAGATCTTATATTGAAAAATTCCTGTTAATCCTTAAGTAACTTTTACTTTTGCAATAGTATCAAACTGCTCACCTCTGTGCAAGCAGATGCTTTTTTTCACTGCAGCATACTAGATGGGGAGAATGGCTTGCTTTCATGCACTTCCTTTTCCCTGGAGTTCAGTATTTCACATTTATTCCTTCTGAATTCCAGTTTGCTTTTTTTGAATCACCTGTGCAATCTGCCAAATTATTCTGATTTTGGAGCACACTTACCAATTTGTGAACATAGCCTGTCCATGTTGCACCACCTGGAGACCTCAAACTTTGTATTCCATCAAATACACTAACGGATATTCTGAACCAGGAACATGATGTAACCTCAGAAACTGCATTAGAAAAAGTTTTTTAGATTCTCCCCCTCCCTCCCTTACCTTCCAATTTTCTGTTGGCAGTATCTTCACCATATTGTCTCAGCATGTATTTAATAGTTCAATTAGTCATACAGCAAAACCTCTGATGGCAGAATTCCTGTGCTACAGCTCTGCCTCAGTTCTGTGCCTGTATCACTGAACAATACTTTTCCTCTCAGCCTAAGAGTGTAAATCCACATCTCTGAAAGTAGAAACTACACCAATATAAATTATCCATGACCTCATTTTTAAAACATAAATGCATCTGCCTTCAATCTCCCAAACAATGCCAGCTTTCATTGCTTATTAGCCCAGGTCTCCCACAAACACCCCTGGCACTGTTACATCACTGCTTAGCCAAGGGAAAAACACCTCAGAATATTTCCATTGAGCTATGACTCGCTGTCTCACAAGGAGTGCTGAGCTGAGCTGCACACATGGTGAGTACCCAAAACACGCCCAGCACCACATCCAACCCATGCTTAGGTGTTCCTCTTGCACCTTTAGCTCACCTAAGCTCCAGGAGCTCGCAGTTACTGCTAAAAGGAAACTCAGGAGGGCTTCCCCTGACCTGGCAAAGCAGATCAGGAGAGGCCGCAGGGCTGCCCAGGCCTGTTGTGTCTGAATCCAGCCCAAATGGGTTCCAAGGGCAACGATTAGCACAACTATCTGTGCACTATTAAAAGGATGTGGTGTTTGAATAACAAAGTAAGTATGTGCATATTACAAAGTACCTGAGCCTATCATCTTTCTAGCCTACAGATAACATTTTATTCCAAGAACTACAGGATTCACCAGCAGGTATAGAATACAAAAGTATTTATTAACTTTCATGAAACAGAATATGGCTTAAAAAAGTCTTATTAGGTCCCTCTTGAACTTTCTCTCTTTCTCTAAGAAGGAGAATCAGACTCTCATGAAAATTTGTGAAAATTGATAAAAAAATATTTAACCCAAATACAACCATCTTATAGAACATTATGTGAACTCTGGGCAACAGAAACTAACCAGTATATGGAAATAAAACACTGCCTCTACACATATAAAGAGAAGAGATAAAAAGTAGCAGAGATTATTTATCTCTATTATTAAAACTTTTTTAAAATTAAGTTTTTAAATAAAACACTTCCTAGGTGTAAACAGTACACTGCATAAAACACAGCTAAAGAAATTTAAATGCATCCATCATTTCAATTCCCAGACCTAGTTAAATCTGACATATTTCTCCTGTGGATTCCTGAGCTGATCTTGCTTTCGAACAAACCACCCGTCAGGAGGAAGAAATATGTATTTTTCAATATTTTAATTTTTAAACTTTTCAGAATTCTTAAAATTTTAGCAAGCATCTTTCAAAAACATATTCCAATGTAAGCTTAAAGAAAAAAAAATCCTGCCTCTGTCAAAATAATTCGCAAACTTTATTGGATTTTTAAAAGCCTAATTACAGGACGAAACATGCATTATGCATTTTGCTAAAATTCCAAAAACAATTGCAGAATTTAATCATATTAAAAGGCTCATATCCATAATAAATACCACCAGCTTAAAAGCAGCCTGAAATTTTTCATGAGTTTTAGTATCAGACAAATGCAAATGTTCTACATACTAGATACTAGATACTGTTGTTCTTTTAGAAGTCTGACATCACGTTGCAATGGTTAAAGCAAGAAACAGGTCAGCTGAAGACTAAAGAAAAGCCCTGTCTTTTGAGGAGACCTACACTTCGTTATACAATACTGCTCTGGAAACAGTCTGTCACCAAAGGCTTGGCAATTGGCTTCTGCTCAAAACATACTCTGCTTCTAACATTCTTCAAAGGATTAAACCATAATTGATTCTGGCAATACACATGGTAAGCGTGATGTGCAGGGGGTTGCCAGTGGACATGGGGCCCTTACATAAAGGGCTGTTTTCTTTGTTTAAAATGGAAAAAAGAGTGGGAGGTGTGGAGAACAGTGAAATACAAAATGAGTCAGAATCATAAACCATATTTTTTGAATCAGATTTCAACAACCACACATGCAAAAAGAAGGCTTCAAAGGTGGCAGAGCTTCTGAATTGCTACGACAATTCACATGTTCTTAGTTCCATAAAAAAAGATAGAAGCTATAGTTATGTACATCCTTCTAACTACTCCAAGAGTATTTCAAGTTGAACTCCAGAGAAGCCATCGGTATCAGTCTGAAAGTGATGGGGAACGGATTGATCGTGCACTGGCTGGACTGTTAGAGAAAACAAAAGAATCCTTTTCCTTTTCTTTAGTATCATGTTTATGTTTATGTTTATGCTTATGCTTGTGTTTCTTCTTCTTTTTCTTGTGCTCATGGTGGTGATGGTGATGGTGGTCGCTGTGTTTTGAGGAGTTGGATTCTTTGCTGAACACAGAGAGTGGAGCTGCTGAGACAGGGTGCATGTTTATCTCCCCCGAAGATTGTTCCTTACCTGAAAGAATGGATACAGTGGGATTAGCAAATGTTTAACCTGCATTGTTTCCAAACATAAGGAATTCTGAAATATTAGATAAAACCTACATTATCATTTAAACATAAAACCATGGAATCTGTTACAATGCTTGTACCATTTAGCTTCAGAGAGGTTCTGAACATGCCATTCAAGTTCTCACACTACTGACAATTTTTAGAGATGGTCCTTCCTTCCTCAATAGCATAAAAGTGTCCCAGACAATTGGGAACTGTAAAGAGCTCTAAGAAACTTTAAGTCATACTAGCTTCCTGAAATTCATTTCTAAATAGAGTAGGAAGGCCACTGAATAATGCAAATATAACTGCTTGTGAAAATTCTCATATAAAGTGCTAAGACTGGCATAATAAAGTGCATTTTTGGGATGTGAACTCTTTTTAGTTGGGAGGTAAAGCTCCCTGCAAGAACATACAAACCTTTTGATAGTGGAAGACTAAACTGATTTTTCTAAAAATTGCCTCTTGCAACCAATTTAGGTTATTTCAAAGATTATGCAAGGGTTTTTTTCTTAAACACAACCAAATCCCAATAAAGATAATGATACCATCTTTATCACTATATATTTCACAAGTACACTAGAACTAGTTATATACTGAGCAAGCCTGGTATCTGAACCTGAGGAAGGAGATATGATCCATGACATCTCAATTCAGGAATGACTTTTTCATTCTCTCTTTGGCTAATTTAATATTTCATTATTTCAGACAGACTGCAATAGTAGAGATTAAAGGGCATTACTCTAAGGATACATTTGTTGAAGAGTGGAAACACTTGGAAGGTAGGAATACTCAGATCCCTTTAATCAGAAATTGAATCAAATCACTCACATTGCAAGGATGCCTTAACAACTCCATAAATGTAGAAAAGCACCAGCAGATTTTTGAAGGCAACTCATCCTCTAAGTATTACTTACAACAGATTTTCTTCATTACTACTTTAAATATGGGGCTTTCTCCCATCCAGTTTTTGGTGAAAATATCCCAATCAAATAACAAGAAATGATGTTATTTGATGTTCCTGTGCAATTATCTTTTTCTGTATATTTGAAAACACATTTATTTCCCAGTACATCTTTTTGTTGGTTGGTTGTGTAACTCTAAAGGCAAGAATGATTTGTCTGTGGTAATGATTCCTGGAAGTCTAAAGAGACAGCTCCCTGTACTATGACAAGCAAGTATTGAGAACAATTTTCATGCAATATTTCTAGCCTCACCTGAAAGACTGAAGACTGATTCAATCCTGCATATATATAGGAAAAACTATAGATTTTCCTATATATATGCACACATATATGTACAGCTGTTCTGGATTTTGTGCTATTTTCAACAATAAAAACAAGTGTGCAAGTATACTGCATTTGATGCAAAAAGGTACAAGACTGCTTTACTATTTAACTATTTCCAATTCTATTTTTAAAAGGAATTCCTCCCATATCTAAATCTATCCCCATAACCTGAGCTCCTTCCTCTAAAGATCCACTGTTTAGACAACTTTATTTAGCAGCTGCAAGAATACAAAACCAGCCATTAAACAGATGACACAATGGTGAAAAAAGGAGTATATCTGTCTCAGGGCATTAGAAAAGGAAAGGGTGAAGGTTGTATCTCAGAAAGCCAAAGCAAGGAGTATTTGATGCTGTTAAAATAAGCTGCAGTAGTTACAGGTGAACTGTGGCAGTGACACAGAGCTCCCAGAAACACAGAAATAAAGGTCTTGGCAAAAAGCAAGACCACTGGTTGGTTGTATGGAAAATGTACAAAAGATGACCTAAAGTCCTGAAGACATTCTCATATGTTCTCAAGCTACAGGCACATGATACATTATTATACACATGGCAAAATCAAACCAACTTCAAATAGAAGAAAAAACCCACACAACATGACACAAACTCTTAAAACTTCTCAGCTCCATTAATTCCAAATTATGGAGTTATTTTTGTATGGAAACTAAACCTGTAAGTCTAGACACTACATTTGTAACAACCTCAAACTGAAGCTAAGCCTCTGAACTTAAAAAAATTTAACCAGAACTGGTATAAAAACACTGGTTAAAGTCTGCAGGGATGATGTAGTAGCAGTGTCAAGTGAAGACAGGGGATGCAACCAAACAGACTCTCCTGACTCTGTTACATGACCTGCCACTTGTGCTCATTTCCCGCAGTTTACTGCACTTCCAGCTCTCTAAGGCAACACTGTATTATCACCTCATTACTTATTTTAGGTGTGTTATTCAAGAAATCTGTTTCTTAAAGCATTCAAACACCAGTGACTGGGGCAAGTTAGGGAGCAAATACAACAGCAGTTGAAACTATCAGGACCAAAGGGTGGTGGTGACCACGTAGAGAGGCAAGATCTTCAGGAAAGGGAGAAATGAGATCCAACTGCAACTCAAGGGCTACTGACACTTAGGGAGGCAGTAAACATTGGTAATATGGAAAAGACATCAGTAAGAAATGAAAGAATGATATTACAAAAATCTGCTTCTACTGAGTCAGCCACAGGAGTACACACACCATTTCTTCAGAGAGCCACAATAGTGACACTAGTCTCTTGGGTTTTTAAATGCAAAAATAAAAGCTATCCAGAAAATTTCCTCCTACTGTTAAAGAGTGCTTTGAAACCAAGAATCAAATATATTGATCCTGGATGATGGCTCCAAAAGACTGGTCACAAACTACCAAACTCGGTTGTGTGCCAAAATGGATAGACCTATAAAAGCTCTATCAAAAATGTTACAGATCTCCATGCATAAAATTCAGTGTTGAATCTACAGAACCTTTTTTTCTTCCTACTTAAAGCCTATGCCAGGAACATGACAAGTGTAGTTAGGAAAATAAGATAAATAGAAATTGCCTCACAGGGAAATATAATCAGCCTTTTATCAACAGGGGAAGAAGGACTGATGCAAAGAGGCACAGAGCACTCCCTCTTCCTGCAGGGAACCCACTTCTTCCTGGCACAGAGAGCACGACTGAAACCCAGGTTTCACAAAACTCACAAACACAAAATAAGTGGAATGGAGGGTGAGCCCAGGAGCTCCTTCTGAAGTGGTTAGTAGCATTCCTTGGAAGAAAATGCACATACATGTGTCTGTCCACATGGATCTCCTCCTGTTTAGGATGTGGAGAGGCCAATGTAATTGTTGGGTTTGTGGTGTTCCAGCTAGCTGGGTAGGTGCTTAAAATTAGACAGGATTATGATCCTATGGGGGAAAGATCAGAATATTTGTGTACCATTTGCCTCAGGGACAAATACAAATGCTGTAGATGTTGTGAGAGAGAATAAAATATGAAAACACAGATCTTGTAGATTAAAGGGATTTGGATCCTGATAAACTTTAAAGTAACATTTGCTGTCATAATACAAATTGCTGTCAGATAATTCTAACACCCTGTTCACTTAAGTTTTAGTGCTCATTGGTGCATTAGCATTGAACTATATTGTTGGGTAGAGTGTTTCACCTATTTTTCCCATATTTTGTTTTTGAATTTTTACAGTATGAAAACCTGTAACTTGAGACTTTAACATGCCAAAAGGCTTTTGTGAGATGTTTCATATGGTCCCTCCTATGCTTCTGATTTTATGTGAAGAGAGTGGGATGCCACAAACTTACAGCCTCTGTTTCTTTGCACGGCCAATAAACGCAAAACAGCTGGCTGATACAGGATTTTTACAAATTGACACTTGTTTGAAATTATCCCATTTGCACCCTAACTTACTGAAACATCAGAGAGGGAGAAGACAAGTTCACAAATCATAGCAAAGTGTGAAGCCCATGGTCCTGAGGACAGGCTGCAGCACCTGACAGGGACAGGCTCTGGGAAGAGGGGGAGGTTGATACAAGTGCAGAAACACTTCATGTGTCTCCCTCAGAAGCCAAAGAAAGCTCACCAATGAGAAAGGTAATGCACTCTCTTTGCAGAGCAGCTGACCTGCATCTCTGACTAGCATTTTCTCTAAAGAGAAAACATTCAGAAAAAGGAAAATACCATAAAAACAGTTTCAAAATGACCCTGTTTTTCCTTATTTCTTCTTTTCTTTTTAGTGTTACTCTGGAAACATCCAAGACACACTATTTTTTAATTTAATGCTGTGTTTATGCATCTGTTGAACCACCACCAAAGTACATAGAAAAAGTTACCAAGCATAAATGATTTCAGGTTTCCAAAATGCCATGTCCTGTAATTAGTCTAAAGAACCAGCATTTTCAAATTATACATCTCTGAAAAAGGTTATCAATTTTCTCTCTAGAAGAGTGCTCTTTTAAGGTCCATGGGACAAAAATTAAAGTTTGAGGGTGAAAAACAAAGGTCTAGTTAAAAAAACAAAACCAGCCAAAGCTTTTCTGAAGATATGGTAAACAAATCAGTTAATTTGGAACCAACATAAACATTTTAACTAGTTAAAATTTACAGATTCATTTGACTTCAATTTTTTAGTGGGATTTAAAACCAGATAGACAATTTCTTATATCTATACCACAGGTAAAACTAAAGTATTGTATAGACAAGTTGGTGTTTTAACTAAAATGCAGTTTTTACTGGTAAAAAGTTTGCTTTTCTCATCTGATTTTCATTTAACAACTATATTGCCTAAAATAATATCTTAAATGTGATGTTACTTTTACTACATTTATTTTAGTATTCTGGAACTTTCTAGTGAAATCCCTGTTTTTGAAAGAAAGAACATCTAAATCAGGAAGCCAATTCAGAATACTTTGTGTGCCTCTATCAGTTTCAGGTAGTTCACTTGAAAACTTGCTAGCCTTACTCATCCACTAGATTTGAGAGTGATTAGTTGTTTTCTCAGAGACAGTCATAGCTACAGTATTATGGTTTTTTTATTAAATCATGGAGTTGCCACACGGCAGCCACATACTGATGCAATTCTCATTTCTGTTGTCACTATCTGCAGGGTTTGTTTCTATTAAAGCTGCTTTTTTTAGAGTATATCACTGGAAAACACCATTCCTTGTGAAGTGTACTATTAACCACATACTACTTTAGTGAAACAAATTTATCTAAAACCTCAAAGCCTATGAGCTACCACTTTGGAAACAGTTATATCTTGAGTAATAAAGTGTAACAGATACTGTATTAATACTATATGTTATTAAAAGGTATTCTATCAGAACAGTTGTAACAACTTTTACCTCCTTAGAATGTAAAGCAAAAAGCCATCATTGTCAGTGATGCCCACGAATCCAGGAAGTGTTCATTTATATATTTGTCTGTGTGCTGATGTTTTCAGAGCACTTTTTGGCAGAGAGCCACTAAAGGGTGGACTTTGAGGTACTGGTGCACTCTCAGCTAACTGCAGAGGACTGGGCTTCTCACACAGTTTGGTCTGAATTCCTATTTACTCCTGCATCCAAACTCCAGGTGCAGTGATTTGCACCCCAGGCTTGGATCTGCTGCTGTAAAAGTACTGTTTGAACATAATAACTACAGTAGTTTACACTTTACTGCAGCATATGCAGTATGTCCAGTTTCAAAATGTTTCAGAAAAAAGTCAATCCAGATAAACTATAATTTCCTGAAAGTGCAGTAACTGTGATAAACAAGACCACAATCTGATCAACATTATGACTGTGGTCTAGACCTCCAAAGTTTCATCTACACAGTAAACAGAGCAACCACAAAGTCAGCAGCACCAATTGCCAATTTGACTATCCCAGAAAACTGCAAAAGATTTAACAGAACGGCCAAGGAATCTGTTTGATCTGAGTCTGAATGCTCAGGATGTCCTCAAAGCTCACTGCCCCTGAATGTCATCAGAAAAAGAATGCCAGTGCACTAAGACAACATCACTGTATCTTATTTTTCTTTCTTGGATGCTGCTTTTTATCAACTTTCAAACCATCAAAACTAGTTGGAAAAAGTTCATTTAAGTGTTCATCAGTGATGAGCTATAATGACATGTCACTGGCAGATCATCCAGCCTACAGCCAGGCATTTATTTTGGAAGCAGAAAAGACCACGACAATCAATAACCACTGACAGATACAGCAGAACCTTTTAAAGGTTACTTCTGACATACTGTACTTTCAGGTGAGTGAAATATTAAAGAAATATGTGTACCTTTATCTAATTTCACTGAAGTCAACAAAGCAAGACAAGTCACCTTGCAGCCTGAGAGATCAAATCTATTGCTTACAGAAAATCTCATCTTGAAAGTCTTTTATCTTAAGATTTCAGTGAAGGGAGTGTTCCTAATATTCTTGATGATTAATAGCAAATAAAATCTGTTCTCACATTAGAAATGTAACCTTGCACAGCCTTGGGGGTTCAAAGGAGGCTACCAAGTTTCCAGCCCTAAGGGCAGATAGTAATCATCATAACAGCATTCTTTAAACAATTCACAACTAATGTTTTGTTTGTTTTAATAGTTTCTTGATAAAATTATTAGATTCCCCTATAACTGCCTGAGTCCACAGTTTTACGATCATAGTTAGGATGCTTTAGTAGGATTTAAACCAATTATTTTCTGTATGAACTGGGACAGGTGTTGTAATTATAACACCGAAACCAGTAATCCAGCACATGTTGTATTAGAAAACTTTTTGTTATTGTCTCAGCCTTAACTTTTCACATCCATGGGCAGAACCATGCAAAAACATTCTCACCCTCACTCCCCCACCCCTGACTTTTAAAGGAAAATATTTTCCTGGTGTTAGGGGGGTTACATCAACTTGACCAAATCCAAATGATCATTTGGGGTGGTCTGGGAAATGGAAAAAAACAACAACACAACAATTCAGCAAAAAACCATAGATACTGCAGGACCCAACGTGAACTTCCTCCTGGCAGCTGCTTTTCACATGCTGCGCTCAGCTGATGACCTAACACCTCATGTGACACGTGGGGACAGAGCCCACAGCTGGGGGAGGAGCACTGTGGGCGGACTAAGAGCTCACTCCTTCCAAGGAGTCAGAACTGAGGCAGATTCACTAACGAGACACTGAGACCACTTCAGAGCCTCCTGTCAATCTGTTTCACAATAATCCTTCCCTGAAATGCACCCATCCTCCATCACTGCTGTAAAACCTCACAGGCTCTGGGATTCCTTTGTAAAACAGAACACTCCTATGTGTGAACAATTTTATTTATGTATGCTTTTATTCTTCCCCATCTGTTTCTTCTCAGCAGTATACCATTTCCTAAAGATTGAGCTAGCTTTATGTACTCAGTCTGTAATGCATATATCTCTGCTTCTAAGAAAAATGCCACGAATAAGAAACAGGTGAAATTTTAGAAGCAAAAAATATGTGAAGTGGAAATGTTTCTGACCACACAAACAAAAAAAAAGAATAAAATAATCTGAAGTGTTTCAAAATAATGTTTTTCAAAGTCTTACTATTTAAAATGAATTCTGGTGCAAAACCTGGCATTTGTCTCATTATTACCTATGAAAGAAAATGCATCAGAGTGTGCTGAATGTCTAAACAACAGAGGTGAGAAGGTCATTCAGGACACAAGTGAGACTTGAAGTAGCTTGTGTCTGCTGGGGGTCTATAAAAGCACCAGTTAAGTGGCCACTGCTCCACTCTTGGTCAGACTTTACCCTTCCTGACCCCCAGCACAAACTCAACCCACAACAGTCCTGGAGCACAAAGCTGGTGCACAGAGGGTCCCCTAAGTCCCATTAGTGATGGATTTGGCAGACTTTTGTTTATGACTTTATATTCCATAGAGTGTGTAAATCTAGTGAAAAATTTGTTCCAAAATATTATGTAAAAGTTATAGATACTAATCCTCAGCAGATCAGCTTGGCACTTGCATGCCCTGGATGCTTTATTCTGTGCCACAACAGAAAATGTGATGGTTGATAACACTGAGAACAAAACTCAAAGCAGCTCTGAGAAGTTTAAACTAAAGCTTTGCAGATATAGGCTCCTAAGTTGATACCTAACAGCAAAGCTGTCCTGGTGGAGTTGGCTGTAGGCACATGTCATTAACTGAAGGCCATCTGGAATCCAGAAACTAGACCTCCCTGTGTTTTAATGTCCCCATATGACCTTAATTTCTTAGCTGAGAAGTGACAGGAGTAACCTTTTATTAAAAAAAATAAAAATCAAAAGAAAGAAGTAAACTCCCTTAGTGGCTAGAGCATCTGCCAAGGAAGGAAAAACGTTATGTCCAAGGCTCATAACGGGGTATGAGCCTCCAGCTTCTGCACCACTGGCACCAAGGCACCAACCTCAGCAGGATCCTCAGGGCAGCAGCTCCCACCAGCCCTTCTCTTAAATGGGGCCACTAAACTGCCTGGTCACAGGGAAAGCAGGTAAGGTCACCTGTCAGCATAGCTCAGCACCTAGGGCAACTCAAGATGGAACCAACATTCCAGATCCTGCTGCTAAGGTCTGTTTCTGTTTTACACTGGGCAGTCACTGGATAAAAACAGAAAAACAACCAAGAGGGTAACTACTCTGAAATCTAAACCCAAAAACTTCACTTTTACACAATATAGTACTGCAACCTTAAAATCTTGCTCTGAATCTGTATGGAAGATCCCTCAAAATGCTTGGTACATTGTCACATGACCTCAGCTTTGCTCCACTGGCACATTCTGGAACTGAACTTCAGACACATTGTTAAAACATTTTGAGAAAATGAGACAAACCACCAATTTTTTTGGCTACAGACAGAGAAACAAAGAAGGTGGAAGTTCAACCTGTTTTAAAGTTTCTAAGAAACACTATGCCTTGAGAATAATTTTGTCAAGTATTGTATAAAAAAAGATACTAAGAGAAGTAATTAAAGAAAGTAAGGGCTTGAAATGAAACAATTTCACTCACAGATGCAATCCTTTCAACTTTGGAAAGCCCTTCTAAATATCTTTGAGGCTTTAACATTTGCCAATGTTAAGGTATAAATCATTAATATTTGAGAGGTTTTTTTATCTGAGGACTCTTTCTATTTTTTTAATCTTCAAAATTGTAATTTTTTAAGTGACACCAATTTCAAAACAAGTTTTACCTAATTACTTATGGGATTCTAATTAAACTTGGTGCTGTTCTATTCATTCCTTAGCTTTTCACTTTCATCAGCATGATTTATACTTGTCTTACTTCTAGATATGTGTAAAAATACATATGTATACACTTCTCTGTGCATCTACTGAAACCTAAAGAAATATTCTTATGCACCCTTTCTGCAGTTCCTGGAATTCCAGTAACATTTAACACTTACCAACACTGTAAGTATGAAAATAAGCAGTAGCAAAAAACACCTCACAACTGAAGTAGTTAAAAAAAATACAACCACCTTGCCTATAAAGTTACTCATACCTGGTGTGGATGGTCTCTCCAGCATATTCAAATGATGGTAAATGAAGGCTTGGCTGTCATGAACTGTGTCCATATCAATTTCCTCTTCCTCTTGAGAGTTTGAGAACTAAGACATCAGGAAAAAAAATAAGCAGATGCTAATAATTCATAAAAACATTACTAAGCAGAATTTAATATGTTTTATTTTTGAGGTAAACTGGGGGTGAGAGGGAAAGGAAGTGATATCTACCACTGCAAAAGAATAAAAATTCAGTAAAATTAAAAAGGGTCAGTGTCTTTCCTTCTTTCTAATTTACTGTGAAGCTGTGTGAACAAGTGCACTATCTGTCAACTTTAGCTCTTGCCAGCCAATAAAGAATCTGATAGGAAATGATTTTGCCAAAGTAAGCAAAACAACTGCTGTACATATATACACAGCATGCCTTTTGTTTCAACACAGCTTCAAGGGAAGCCAGCAGACGCCACTGCTGTTATTCTGAACACCCTACACATTGTGCAAGTTGAATTTCCATTTCTTACTCTGATTTTGAGTTTGACTTTACTGTCTTCATTCTTCTCTAGTATTTGCCCTGGCTCCAATGGAGACCCGAGTGGCATATCAGCCTTCCTCTTCACCCCCTGCTGATGACCAGAAATGCTGGATGCTGTTTCCTTAATAAGATGATCATCCTCCTGAAGCAGCATTAAAAGACCAAAATTAGAAGATAGCAAGATCCATGTTTCAGAGAAAGCGACCTGATACCTGAAAAATCTTCTGAGTAAAGTGGGTGATTTGAACAAAGTTTTCTCTGTAGTTCTGGCAAGAAGTATTTTCTAAAACCCTGTATGGATTTGTGCCAACCACTCCTACAAACATAGTTTCTCTTTAGTTCTATCCCTGCTCCCTCTGCATATCTAGCATTGGCATCTTTTCTGTCGCTTCCCACAATCATGGTACTGTTGGTGTGCAACAACATTTGCTGCCTCTGAATAGCCTGTCTATAAATCTGTGCCTTGCAGACTCTCCTCAGGACAAATCTCAGCTGAAAAACTGTGATAGCCTCTGATCTACACATGGGATTTAGCTAAATCTTCTTTTAGTTTGTTTTAAAAGCTAAAGCTTACTTTACTTAGTACAAATCATGAGTACTTATAATTTTTTCTTAATTTTTCTACAATATTTATTAAAAAAGAATAAAACTGTGTTGTAAATTACTGCTTAGATTATAAAAAGAGCAAGGTCAAAGAAGTAGAAAAATAGGAGAGTCCTAAGTTACACATATAGTAATGAAAATAGGAGATAGGTGTTTCAAGAAATCCAACAGACTAAATTTAGAAGGTAAAATAAAGCATCCACAGAAGCAAACATAATTAAAGCTCACTAAAAACTATAACAGGCATAGATAACATATACTCTAAAGGGCATATACTGTTCCCCTGAACTGCTCTTCTTCTATCCTACAAAGGGCACTCGAGCCCCAAAACTCTTGCCCTGAACAATTCAAGCTCCATTTTATGAAGTGGGTAACTTCAATCATCCTCAGCAGCTTCAGTGGCACTACTCTATCAGTACTGATTTTAACACATTTATGCTCTCAGTGTATGTCTAGATTAAAGAATCTAGTTAATCTGATAAATTTTATCACCTGTTTACTCTTATTTCCCCTCAAATATGCATTTCCCTTTTTCATGCCTATTACTTTGTCCAAGGCACTGCTATTTTGAAACACTTCTGGATTAACTTTGTCTGATGTAAGAGGCAGTCTTTGTTTTATACTACTGGAAAATCAGTTCCTCGAATTTTGGGGCAGTTACAGTGAAAATGGTAACCTTAAGGTAAGGGGTAGGAAAATGAAGATGAGGAATAGGAGAAGATACAAGGGATGAAATACAAACTGAGGCTTATACCAGTGCTGTATTTCCACACCAGTGCAAGCCAGTACACTGCTAAATGAAGCAGCCTCATCCATACATGGTTCTCTCCTGGGGTGCCACAAGCATTTTTACAACTATGTGACAAACTAGCTCAGGAAACTCAAATATCTGTTCATAAAACGGTACTGTTCAACCAGATCCTCCCTGATCCAGCTCACTGTTGCAGCAACCACTACTATGCTAGCACAAGGGAGAGGAAAGTTTAGGAAAAGAAGAAGAAATCTTTTGGTAGTCTGGTTGCAAAAAAAGTTTGGGTGTTGATTAAACTGCAGCCTAAAAATCTGCCAACAAAATGCCTCCTGCTATTTAATTCTAATGATTAGGTGCAGCAAATTAGGACTTACAACATGCTCTGTAAATATGCAGGACAAGTCTAACAATATCTGACTCTACCAGCATTTTCTCCCCCTGCTGGAAAGGGCCTGCAGGGTACTGTTAATTAGTACTCTCAGCATACTTTTCAATAAAAACTATTTAGACATTAACTATTATAAAGTAAGAGTAAACCATCCTATTCAAAAGGGTGGAAAGAGTTTCAAACATGCTAATCACATGCTGGTTTTGAAACTTAAAAAAAATTCACTTATTATTTCCATGTCTGTTGATTTTTTTCCCCCCCTCACAATTAAATTTGTCCAACAAAAAATACTTGGTCTTGCAGCAGTGGCAGTTATTCTTGAGGAAAGTATGACCTTAATAGTTCATAAAAATTTATATTCTAACTACGCAATGGAATATTTTCTAACTATGCAATGGAATATGTGTTAGGACTGAAGCCTCCAAATCCAGAAAGATACCAAACTGAATGTATGCCATTCTTCAGAAGTTGTTACAAATCCTTCAGAGCACAATACCAAAGTTCAATGCAGATGTGTTAAAATTTCAACTTTCACATCACTTTAAGTTGTTTAAAATGAGGAGTATCCATGTATTTTAAGATGCAATAGATTTACTGATAAAAGGCTTTGTTTTGGAAAACTGGATAACTTGCCTATAAGAAACAGTCTCACGAAAAAAGCTTTCATCACAGCATCAAACATTTCTGTGAATCATTTCATATCTCATAAGCAATAAATAAAGTTTCATAAAGAACAGAAATGATGAGACTAGAAAAAAAAAAAACAAGTAAAAAGCTTGCATACACAATGCAAAACAGTTAAAAAATGTATAAAAAGTCATGGTATACACCAGCTTTTCAAGAGGACAGAATAAAGAGCAATGAGGTCAGAAGGTAGCTTAGGTAAAGCATGAGAGGCTTGAACACAATACAAAATTAAATCAGCAACCCATGCAAGAACTCAGAGCCAGCTGAATAGGATGGATGCAGATGTTTTGTGCTTACGGTGTTCTGAAATCCTACTGACTGCCCATGATTGTTAGAACTGATCACAGGCTCCTGATTATTTGCAACTGATTCAGGGATAATTGTTGGATTGAGTACAGCCTTCTTTTCTTTCAGGTTAAGAACAAGTCCAAGCTCTGGTAATGGTAAACAGGAAGGTCTGCTGAGGCCAAAGAGTGTGAAATAGAGGTCCACAGCACCACATCGTAATCTCCAGTCATGTGAAGTTCCTAAAATACAAAAGAGATTGTTAATACAGAGATAAAATCTCCTCCTCTCCCACAAATATAACAGTTTAAGTAATCCAGGCCCACCAGAGTATGGCATTTTCTGTGCTTAAGATACACTTCCTTCATTATTCCTGCCTCTTATTAGCTCTTACTTGCTTTCTTTGTAAACTTTCCTGTTTTAAAGGAAGGCTTTAAGTTTCCGGAGTTCCAAGTTAGACAGGTTTAGTACACCAAGACTGAAAAGTAAATGCTATAATAACATAATGAAAAATAGAAGAAAAATAACCACACCCATATACCTTTATTTTTCAAGCTGCACTCTTTAAGTTTTTTTTTACTGGACAAGTAAATAGAAAACTTTGTTACCAAACTGGCTTCCTGTATCAATGGATTTGCAGATATTCCATAAATCTGTCGAATATCCACAAATATTTGTGGATATTATTATACTGTATTATATTATTTCCAATATTTCTGGATATTCCACAAAATATAGTAAGAGCTTTAAGCATGACTAAGATTTTTACTCTGTGGAAACTGCACTGATAAGAGAAATGCACAAGCATGCTTTTTAACATCATTACTACATCATGAGCTTCACTGAATACTCAATACTTTAATTTGTATTCATACTCAAAGTATGTATTCTTACTGCATACAGCAATGCTTTATTTTTTTATTATTTTTCACTACAAACTGTGTACTGCTTTAATATCTTCATAGACAAATGGTCTAAGCACTTTTGGCACCAATCACAACAGAAAGACATTTAACATCTGGTGCAGTGCTGCAAATACAGCAGTTCTGGTGTTAACTCAGCCCAGCTCTTGACTGATTGCAAGTTTATTGAACATATTGTTCCCTAGCAGGAATTGAACTATATCTGGTAAACAAGACACAGATGTGCCCACTGCCATATTAATGTGGCTGTGCAAGACTTAGCACAAAATAAAATTACAAGATCTACCCCTGTAAATACTAGTTTTATAGGGCCAAAATAGTGTTTGGAGTAAGCTTAGCTTGCCCTTACCAGGGCAAATTACCTTACAAATTACCAGCTACACATACCCAGTTACAAATGAAAGCAATGTGAATACTAATCTGGACATTTTTAACATTAAAATACTCCCCAGAGAATGACATATTCAAAAATATTAATTTTAGAACTATTATGATATTATCAATTTAATTCAGATTTACACAGGAAAAAACCCATTACATATATCAATCAGAGTCTGTTCTCCATTACATGTGCTTATGCTAAATGAAAGCAACTCATGATTCTAGAATCATGCACTTTTAAACCTGGCTACTAGCTTGTCACATATCAACAATTGTTTTCAAGGCACCCTGGAATGCCACAGTTATCCCTTACAGAAAATTAACTGAAACATTATGTCATCTTGAGGCATAGAAATTTAGGTGCTTAAAGCCCCATGAACCTTAATAAGCATGTATACCCTATTTGTTACTTGCAGAAAGAGGTAATGCTTGTAACACTGCACACACTCTTCTCTCATGAAAAAGCAAAAACAAATTCTCTGATGGGAACATCAAAATTGTTTATTTTCTGTGTCTGACACTTGGCAATTCCTATGAAACTGAACTACTAGTAGTTTCTCCACTTCAACCCCTGGAGTGTAGCTGTAAACTTTTAAACACTGAATATAATGACACACAGAGAACAGAAAGCCTGCAATGACCTAAAAAAGCTACATAAATGTTTATATGTAATCTGTGTGGAAATGTGCCAGATGTTAAAGGGCAGTTTGTCAGGACTGGATAAAACTGCTTCAGTAATGAAGAACAGTCAATGGTAAAGATGCAAGCCCTTCTCTCACTAGGATCTTTCGTAATCTCACAAGGCAAGTTGAGTTTTAAGTCTATAATGCACTTCTAAAAATCTCATTTAAATTATCTGTATCAATGCTGTCCTCTCATAGTCTCTGAGAGTTTAGGAAAAGAGGACAAAAAGAGACCATCTAATAAAGCGAACTCTAAGTGTAACACAGACACTGTTATTTGAGGAAACGCTTGCTTTGTACAATTTTGAACATTCCAAGTATGATTCTGTGCAGAAGGACATCGAAGCACACTACACCAGTAACCAGAAGAATTAAAAACAAGGTTTGGTAGCCTCTGTCACTAAGAGTGTTCTGGAAGGACATAGATGATATTCAGCTTCTGAGACTGGATTTTCAATTTCTGACTACTGAAACTAAGAGAGCTCTTGGCATATTCTGAAGCAAGTTTTTAATACTTCTTTCAAAAAACCTCACAATAAAACCCTAACACAACAAAACCACTAACAAATCGAAAACCCTAACCAGAATTCATCAGTTTCCAAAGCTGATCAACCAAAGCTTCATTACATAAGGGGGACTCCATATTCTTGGTGAAAGGTGGATTCTTAGTCAGCATATCCAAAATCTTATGCCTGAAAGAAGCACAAAAATAATCTTTATTAAATCCAAAAGAAAAACCCTAAAGATACAAAGTCTGTTCAGTTTCCAATATTCTTACAAACTTATTAAACTTACAAGATTACTTCCAAATTTTTAACCAATGTTTTATGCCTTCTTTCTTCTTCCTTCTGTCCACAATAATCATTAGACACACATTCACCATCAGCAGTATAACTCAGAGATAAAAAGTAAGGTGCAAAGCAGCAGGATGTTTTTAGACATAACTGTTAACAGTTGTAGGCTACATTAAGCTCTTCTATTTAGTCATGATCATTTTTTTGCACATTAACTTGGAAGTTTACCAAGAAGATGTAACACTGGCAAATAAACTCCTTACATACTGATATCAAAGAGTTTTTACATTAGTGTAAATGTTTATGACTGATACAAAATGGCAGGCCCAAAACCAGTGACTTGCACATGTTCCTGGAAACAAACAATGCCATCTCTTATGTTACTTTGGTTTCTGAAGATCCTGAACTTACCATGCTGCTTACAGTATTTACAGACTGAGCTGAAAGGAGATAAATTTTTATTTCTTCAAACCTCGCCTTGAAAACATTTAATGAATTCTTTGTTTCATTACTTATTATTTTAACAATTTTTCTCTGTATAGCCAGCTTTCACCTTGCTGTCTGACACATTTGGAACAGAAGACTCTTACAGATACTTTTTTATTTTTGCATTTTCTTTTAGAAGAGGCTAAAATATTGCACTCAATTCAAAATTTAAACTCCTCTTTAAAAGGATACAAATAAAATTAAATCTCCTTCTTAAACTGAAGCTAAACCTGTATTTATTTCCATTAACAAGAATGACAGAAATGAAACAGAACAACCTTCCAGCTATGGTATTTTAAGAAATCACCTATAAAGAGAGAGTAAAAGTAATATTATTTAACTTTGAAACTCAGTATTTCAATAGTAGTAATAACAAAAAGTGTTGGGAAAAAACAATTATTATGAACCTTGGTGTTCACAGGTTTGTAATAAACATGGTTGGCTGAAATACCCAACCACTCATGTGAAAATGAAGCTGAAACAAGAAATATTAGAAATTTCACCACATTTTCTCATGATCCTTTCACCCCATCTACAGTCTGATAATTGTTTTACACCCCTTGGTGTCCAAATATTGTGTGCACTATGTCTCAGCCTCTGTCTTTTCTGAATATCATGAAGAATTTTTTGCCATATGCAACATCATATTTATACTCTTTATTTATGATCAGGAAAGAATCTCTAACTTCAGACTTCTGCCACAAGGTAGAACAAAAAAGACAAAAATAACATAATGCAGAGTAAGAACAGAATATACTAATTTTTGAGATGGAACTATTGAAACATCTAAACATATTTCAATTAATGTAAAATAACAGGAAGGAAAAACAGTTTTGAGAAGAAGCACTTAAGGATCTGATCTATTCTAGTGATTCCAGGTGAAGAGTTTACTTAATAGCCTCAGCATTAGTGAAAAACCTGTCTCTTTATTAACTCACCTTATGTAGGGTACAGGATCATTTTGAACCATTGAGAGCAACCACTGTAATTCTTCATAGCTCCTATCAACTGCAAAGCAAAATAAAACAAAATGCCTAGTAATATATATATAAACTGGAGTAATATATATATAAACTGGAAGGATTTTGATGAAGACAATCATGAGTTTGTGAATTAGCACATAAAGAGCATGAATCATTGCAACTAAAGAGGAATTCCACTAATTACAGAGTAAATTCAAAGTAAAAAGTGTCTTACTTTACATGGAAAGATAAACATTTACAAAACTCTTACATGCTTCAGTGGTTCAATACCAATCAATTTGACTATTTGCATGAACATTGATCGGGAAAATCAGAGTAAAGGCTGATCTAGATATTGTGTGCTTCCTAAAATGAACACATTCTAATATCCTTTCAAGAATCAGAAGCATAACATCTTCTGCAGAGAATATGCAATTCTCATACACAGGAATCTGTGAAAGATTACTATCTTTACATAGGACAGAAAAAGGACTACTACAGGGATTATATAAAACTGCAATCATGCTCCCCTCATTAGCCTTCATTAGTTTTACAAATCATTATACTTTGCAGCTAAAATGGATTTTGAAACCTATCAGCACATGCTTGTAGAAAATTGGAAACAAAGTCAGCTTGTTAGTTTGAAATGTAACTTATATTACAAAATTTCTTTGATTATCAGAGTAATATTGCAGAATAGGAAACTACATAGGAAATCATCATCACTCATTACACAAAACAAGAAAGAATTTTTATTGTGATCTTTTTGTCAGGTGCATAACAGTAAAGATTTTTACAGCAGCATTCTCTTCTCATTTCTTCAAAACAATGAAGACAGTATATTAATCATTACTGAATAGAGAGGTCCAAAACCATTTCTATTGCTTTCCATCTTGTGGTCCTAGCAATACATTTCTTTCTTCCCCTAGCTAATTGTCTTTTTAGCTCTAAATACCTAAGTTCAACTTTTCTTCCTTATTTTGGATTGTTTTCAGCCAACAATTTTAAAATATAACTTGTTTAGTCCAATTAATTCTAATACCTATTATTTTTTTGTTATTTCACTACAGAAGAGGCATTTGTTTATAATATAAGAACCAGCATGTCATTCTATTATAAGTCTTAAAAATGCTTTGGACAACTAGAACATAAGACCCCTTTCTGGGCTAGGAGAATCAACTCCTAAAATATTGCTTAGAGGATGGCTGGAGAGTCTTTTGCAGGCCACTTGCAAGCCAGCCCTGCTCTTCCCAGCCAAAACAAAGCTGGTTACACTGGTGAGGCTCCACTAAGCCCTGTTTGGAGGCAGAATGTACCTTGTGTGTAGCTCCCACAGTGCACTGCTCAGAGCATGGCCACACAGTTCTGGATGATGCCAGAGCAAATCTGTATCCATACACATCAGAACTACAATCTCAGATTTGCCTTAAAAACTAGAAACCTTTGAAAAACTATGCAGAGAACATACTTTTAAGGGATTAGTGACTTCCTGTGCTCAGCTCAATGCACAGCTGCTCTTCCTGGCTTGGGACAGAAGGCAGCTAAAACACTGCAAACAAAAGTTGTTTTGCATGAAACAAAAATAGTACTTTATTACCACACAGCAACAAATTGCAACACTGCAAACATGAAGTCACAATCATTAGCAAAATGTAATTATTTTGACTAACAAAAGGGATTTTAAAATGCTTTTTAATTAGAAAATGAAAAGTCTGAGAGATTAATCCTTTAGGCTGATTGTACTGGATAACAAAACCAGGTAACACCACACTTTTGTGATTAAAAAAAATAAATTGTGTTTTTAAACTTATTTCTGCTAGAAATTAAGTAAGTCTTCCCTGCTATTTGCCTTATAGTGTAAATTAAGCCTTCTAGGCTTCCAAAGCTTTGCAACTAATGCATTTGACCTGCTCTTCAAATTTATATAGGAACTATGAAACAATTTGGACGGCAATGATAAAGTAAACCTGACTTCAGGCAGAACAAATCTTATTAACCAGAAGAACCATATACTAGGCCTGGTTTAGAGATCTCACAAGATCATCTGCTCCGGCCTTCCATGGGGAAGGGAGCCTAGATGTGATTATCTAGCACTCTGTCCAACTGCACCTTGAAAATCTCCAGCAACAGTGACTCCACTACATCCATGGTGAAGCTGTGCCACTGACTGATTGCTCTCACTGCAAAAAAATCTCTTCTTGTATCAAGATGAAACATCTCTTGGTGCAACTTGTACTTGTTAATCCTTCTCCTTTCCATGTGGAGGAGACAGACACTCCGTCCACTTTGCAGCTGCACTCTAAGTGGACTTCATCACTGGAATATTGTGATGAAGCCCCCCTAAGCCTTCTCTTACCCAGGGAGAAAAGAGGTAACTCTGCCATTCCTCCCACACAGAGCAGGTCCTGCACCCCTCTGATAATCTCCATGGCTCCTTTTTGGACCCTCTGCAGTCTGCCCACAACTTTCTTGAATTGTGAGGGCTGCAATTATACACACTGCTTGAAGTGCAGACTGAGTACAAAGTAGAGTGGGATGATCACATCTCGGTCTCGTTACTATTGCCCCTGCAGAGGCTGCCCAGGATCTGATCTGCTGCAGCCATACACTGCTGACTCGTGGGCAGCTCCTCATCCACCAAGACCCCCAGGTCCCTTTCAGTGATGCTGCTTCCCAAGCACAGGTCCTGGCCTGTTCTGGGCTCTTTGGTTATGCTGTCCCAGGTGCAGGACCTTGCACTTGTTTAACTTCATCTAGCTCTTGCTCTCCTGCTCTCCAGCCTGTCTAGGTCTCTCTGTGAGATGTCTCTCCCTTCTGACACGTCCACCTTGCCACCAGCATTCTCATCAATAAACCTGGTGAGGCTGCTTTCAATGCTGTTCTCCACATAATTTCTGAAGATGCTCCCTGGGCACCCATTTGTGACAGACTGCTAGCCTGAGTAAAAGCCACTGGTCACCACCCTCTGAGTGTGGCCCATGATCTGAATTCTTACCCACTGCACTGACCACCCATCCTGTCTGTAGCTTGCCAGTTTGTCTAGGAGAAGGCTGTGGGAAAAGCAACATGTGTAGATTTTCATACTTCTGGTAGATATAAACACGTGATTCCTTTCTGAAACAAAAATCCCCTTGCGATTTTTTTTTTTCAAATTACAAGCAGTGTTGTCTCAGTTCTCAATTGCAGCAGATATCTTTGACACTGAACATTAACATCCATCAAATTAGATAATGGTTATTTATTTAGAATAGTTTGTTATCTCTTCTAAGTATGCAAATGCCTTGTTCTATACAAGTAACTATTAATGGTAATGTAGCCTCTCACAAGTTAACTTTAAAAAGTTAATAACCTCTGTCCACTTCAAGCCACTTTAGATAAACTGTCCAAGCCCTTGTATGCTGCCTCAAGCATTTTAAAAAGTTACCATTTCTCAAAAAACTCCTTGCTATTAATGGCAAAGAAAACAAGTTATTCAGTTCCATGAAGAAATTACTTCTTTTCAAGTAACTCAAAAAAAGGTAGTGTTATTCCTACTCTGAAAGTTCCACCCAGAAAACACAGACTTTCCTTTTTATGGAAATTACAAAATCTGTCAGCTTCCTTTACAAGAACTGTTAAAAGCCAGCTTTGGCACAAGCGACAGGCATTGACAGCCGCTGGTCTGCATCCAGTGTGAACTGGAAACCAGGTAACTGGAAACAGCAAGAATCAGATCTCTTGGCAATAGAGGGCCAATAATTTCTCCTACCAAAGCCAGCTTTAGGGCTCTGCAAGACAAGCACTGCTAACTTCTCTATGGCTAAAGGAAGAAGTCAGCTAGCACACTGAGTGTCTGGATCATCCCTCCACCAAAAACTCCCCAGTCTTACAGCAGGAGCGGGAGCTCCTGTGCTCACTGCTGGAAGCTTGTATTTGAAAAATGACTGATGACCAGCTAGATAGCAGGCTGTGTGGTGAATTGCAGTAACTTTATAGAAGATAGATATTTGCATCTGCTACCTCTGCATCAAAGAAAAAGCTGTTAGCAAGGTGCAAGGCAGTTAGGTACAGCAGTAGTCTAGTCTGTCGTTATCAGATCTCACAGTGAGCTCAGTCAAAAACTGTTCAGCTCAACCACTGATTTCAAGTAATCTACTACTTTTCACCATTCAAGTTTTAGCTTCCTGTAGGTTTCAAGCAACTTACCCTATTGTCTTGCTTATATAACACTCTGTTTGATCAGCTGTTTTAAATATGTACTTTATTACTTTGTAGTACAAACACTTCCTTATTGGAGCCAGTTATTAACTATAAATATCATCCATAAAAGGTCAAGAATTTAATGAGAAAACGTTATTTCTATCAGTTTGTCTTTCCACAGGGTCGGATGAATTAGTGAGGAGATTCTTCTAAAGGAAAAGAGCTGATGAGTAAGCAATTAGCCCACCAGAGAGAGATATGCACAGCACTAGCACAGCACTGAATTCTAGCAGTGTATCACTCACAGGGTCACCAGTGGATTAAGGATACAGAGTGTGTGGTGGATTACAGGAGGGAGCCTGCTGGGTACACAGCCTCCCTCACACTTATCAGCTGTTTGGAATGACAGCCTGCTTTCAGTCTGTGACTGGATGCCTGAGTTTTCACCGAATGCATTCACTCAAAGATTCCAATTGCCTTAAAACCTCCCACTGCTTATCTACTTTGAGAAGTCTCTGGACAGAGAGACAGGAGTAATGTCAAAGTAATACAGCCCTTAAAAAAAAGAAGAAAACAATTATTTGTGTAACAAGCAAAGGAAACCCTGAAAACAAAACAAACCCATGAAATCTGAAGCAAAATAATTAGAAATCTAGATCCACCAGTCTGCTACAGAGGAAGAACTGAAGGACTTGGCCACTTTGAAAGGTATAAACCTCCAAACACAAAAGTATTACAAATCTCCTGAACAAAGAAAGACTAACCCAAATAAATGAACAGGACAATATAATACTAAATTAACTTTATGTAATGCAAATCACTGAAGCTGTAATTTCTAACTGCCATTAGAAATCTGTCAGGAGTGAGTATGAACTACAGAGCATTTAAGAAGCTGTCCAGGGATTTTTTTTTCAAGGAACTGCAATAGTCAACTAGAATTAAGGTAATATTAAAAGAATGTAAACATCTCACAAACGTAAGCTATGCATAAGGAATGGCAAAACAGAATCAGCCAAAATATCTCTACAATAATCTAAGTTTCTAAAATTTATAACCACAAGATGCATGCAAAAATCACAATTAAGATATCAGGAAGAAGGTAAAGCAAAATCAGTGACTTTGACTAGCAATTATGGCTGAAATCAACTAAATCAAAGTCACTGCAGTGTTAAAGACAAATTACCAAATCCCCTTACTGCCATCATTATTTCAAAACATTGGTATCTGATTCAATTTGCAAAGCACTGAGAAACAATACTCAGCACATCTTCACAACAGTCGTACCTGCTGGGACAAAACAGCAATAGAAACCTCAGTTTCTTATTAATACACCTGTGGTGCATTAATGGTGGACATTATTTCAACCTAATATTAATGAGGTACGCATTACATTTGTATGAGAATTGTTACAAAATGTCAAAGTACTTGGAAGAAAGTACCTTTTGTATAATCAACAACAGCCTCCAGCGCCGCTATCCGGACGTCGACGAAGTGCCCGTACTCTGCGTACGACTTGAAGAGAGCAGGGTCGCTTGGGACGTGGCCATTCTTCTGAAGCACCCGAATGGCTTTCAAACAGCTGGAAATGGTAGCAGAATAAAATACACATCAGCTTTATGGAATACCAGCCAAGAAAAATAAAATTACTTTCTTCCAAATCAAGTACTGCAAATCTTCTGAATTATGTTATCCACATTAACATGATTAACATGTTACAATTTCTTTCACAGCATTAACACACAGCTCTTATTATCTCTGAATTAGGCAAACAGAAACAACATTTTCCATTCTGTCAAATCCATTGATTGGTTTCAGTACAGCCATGATAACTTCGAGAAAATACAGCTCAGATGATGTTGCACGCCCTACAGTTATTGTTACAAGGCAAAACTTTCACAAATACTCTTCTTAAAGAGGCATGGGATGATCAAATTATGACTGCTACAAAAGATCTACACAGACAAAAATTAATGCTGAAAAGTAAAGCAATCAAGACAAACTTGCATTATCAGCTTTTGAAACTTGAAAGGAATTTGACATTTAAGATTAAGACATACAAGCTAAAATCTCAAAAGCTAACTACAGAAAGGTACATAAAACCCAAGAAAAGCAATGTCATTAAACCATACCTGACTGTGATAGTGTGTCTGTAACTGGGAAGAAGCTTCTCCATATTCAGAAAACGGGTAATTTCCTCAAGAATAAGTCGCACATCAGGATTTAAGTTATCCAATGTTCGAACTTCATTGTTCACACTGACAGCAGGAGTCACAGAGTTGGCTAGGGCATCAATCAACTCAGCACGGTAGTAGTTGTCTGAAAACTACATAAAACCGATATTTAACACAAGAAAATATAAAAATATATATCTTTTCAAAGCTAAGAAATGTTTAAGCCCTGTTACAGAACAGATCTTAAAATCAAGACCATGGGAGAAACTGCATAAGAAAGGAAAACAGGAAAAAAAAGGTCCTGAAAATCATACTATTAATCCAGCCAGCAACTTCATGAGATTCTGAAGCAAACTAGTAAGCTCACTGCTGCTTAGTGAAAAAAAATCTTTCTTCTTCATTCACCCTTCTTACCTGGGCTCATAGTTTCACCCTTTCCATTATGCTGCCTTTTGCATCTGTTGGTTGTGTTAATAAGCAGCAAAATGTATAAAATTTAAAAAAATCAGAAAAAGTACAAGCTTTGAGTATTAGTTACTTTAACCTAAAGAAACCCAACATCTGTCAGATCCAGCAGAAGATGTTAAACATGTGTAGAAGGGACACATGGAAAGGTGAGGCTGAGATGTCAGCACATGTCACCCTTTTATGTGACTACTGATGCCTGCATTCATATGTCCAACTCTCTACCACTCTCCATCCATCATCCTTATTTCAGTAACAAGCAGCACGTGTCTTGTTACAGTATGTGTTCTACACACACAAAAAAAATGAAGTTTAAGACACATTAGACTGGTTCCACTTCACTTTGAATACTTATTGGGAAGATTATGCTAGGTTTCTAGCTACAGAGATGGAATTCTGTATCATCTCAGAATCTTAAAGGTCCTCTAATCATCCTTCAGAAGTGGTCTGTTTGGGAAGGAACTTGGGGTGACAACATTTCCAACTCAGATGGTTCAGTTTAGTGATGGAACAACATAAACCTGTGGTTCGCCTGTTATCTAAGCAGATGAAGACAATCTAGTTTTGTGAGCTAGAAATTATACTCAGAACACAGAATTCTAGAGTCCTGTATAGTGTTAAAAAAGATTACTTCCTTTCCTTGCTCTTTCAAATACTCCTCTCAAGGTAAATAAACATCAAAAAACTAGTGCTGAACTTCTCATGCTACATTTTCTCCAAACACTTGGGTCTTTGAATGAAAAAGAGTAAAGCAAGAAAAGTATGTGTGCAAAGGAAGACAAGCATTAACAACAAGCACACAGAGGTTTGAAACATCCAAGAAGTGCTGCCATAGAAATGTCAGCTACAGAACATTCTCTAACATTTACCACATCACCTTTTCATCAACTCTGAGCTAGGTATTTGCAGTAGTGGCATCAAAGATCATGCAGTGTACTAACTAAAACTTTTTTCACCAAAAGAAAATCAGTGAGAGATTAAAATAAACACTGTCGTTACCTTATTCTTCCTGTTATCGTTATACTTGATCAAATCCAAAATAAACATTAAAACCTCCTTAGGACAAAGGTTGTGAACATCTCTCAGAAGGGCCATGGCAACAGGCATAGTCTGTGTAATAAAATTAATTAATATCACTCTTTACATTATTGAAATGATAGTTACACCCTGAAAAGAGGTACATCCTGAAAATCAGCAATTAACAAATTCACAATAGCAGGTGTATGAAAAGCTGTATTTACATAATTTTTGACAGCAAGACCATGTACTTTATAATTTTCAGATCAAATAAACTACGTAGTTATTGCTCAGTAATTAGTCACAATACAGACATTTAAAAAAAAAAGTACATCCAAAAAACAGACTCTCAAGTCAAGACACTATCAAAAAGGTATCAAATGAAAAACAAGAAGACACAGAAAATTGTGATGGAATTTGAGATAGACACTGAATTTTAGAGTTTTCATGTGAACATGATGTCTAAGCTTCCACTTTCACTGAGATATACAGACCCAACAGGGTCAGTGAAGCCTGAAGAACTATTTGCCAGACAGCTGTTATTCTGAATAGGCAGTTATTTTAGAGTGAGCTAAGCAGATCTCTAGGCTCTACTCAACAGATCTAAGAGTCTTACTCTAGATTTACAAACTTGGCACACAGGATTAAAAAGGGAGAAAAAGATAAGATTTAGTGGTAAAGACTGAACAATGACAAAAAAGCAGAAAAATGCAAAAAGAAGGTCCAAGAATGACATGAAGAATGAAACAGTTTTGGACAGAGTGAAAAAACCAAAATTGGAGCCCTCTATAAAATCATTGACATGAAATCTATGAAATAAGAACTCAATCACCCAGTCAAGTGAATCTTGAGAGAAAAACATTGTAATTAATCCTGTTATTCAATGAACAACCATAGATTACAGCAAAAACACCTTTGCTAACACCAAAATAAACAGTGGCAATATGTGATGCTGACAGCAGAAAGAAGAGGGCAAGAAGGATTACGCAATGTGTTGAACTAAAGATGTCCATCAATTTAACAGTTATAAGATTTTACTTGCAGTATGATATAACTGCTATTAAAGAATAAAGGCAGTTGCTGAATTCACCTAAAAGATAAAAATACAGTCCTTACAGTCCTATTTAAGAATGAACTCACAAATAATTGCAAGTAATTATATAATAATTTATAATTCTCCATTCTTCTGAAGAAACTGCTAATTTAACTTCAGCTAATCAGATAAAAATAGCTAATAATTTGTTAATTGATTTTAATAAGACTGAATAAACTGAAGCCATATGAGAAAGAATCAGTTACTTTGATTTTTATTAAAGAGGAAATCAGGTTTATGCTATCCACATTGCTGTAACTGTCAATTGGAGGAACATTTTTATATTTTTGACAATTCTTTTAAAACATTCATTGAGAAAAATTAATTTTACCTTTTGAAGAAAGTAGCTCTGAAAGTTCATGAAGTTGTTGGTCTTCACAATGTTTGGACAAGTCTTACAACAAAACATTCGGGTGAAGAGTGACTTCATGGCTGGTGGTCCTGTCCACGTACTTACCATGGAATTTGCAATCTGAATAAGTAGGGGGAAGGGAAATCATATTAACATGACCACTGCAAGTTTAGTTTGGCTGTAGAAAAATACACATTTCCCATAATCAAAAAGGGTAATTGCCAAGAACATTCTCTCCTTTAAATAGATACTTACTTTCATGAGTGTATTATCTTATATTAGCTAAGTTTTCACTGTCATTCCCAATATATCTTATCTACATTAAAGGTAAGTTTTATGGAAATTGTTCCATTTGGAAGACATCTGCAACTAACTATCCTTCCATGATAAACTTCTGTTCTTAATTATTTTCTCTTTTATATATTTTAGATTAATATTCTGTGTTTACTAAGCCAAGTTCTCTGACTCTACGGAAGCCAGTCATGAAAGGGGATTTTGCAATACCAACTTCCCAAATTTACCCTGCCAGTAACCTCAGCCTAAACTTTAAACAGGCCTTAGCCACCCCAAGAATAAAAGACCACCCCTAAAGTTAAAGGCAAGGCAGTCCCCTCTAACTTTACTTGTCATTTATTGAAGACTGTGCACTGAGAACAATTTATTGCTATAGTCTGCTTTGGTTTAAGACATTTAAGGTTCCACAAAGACAGAAGTGCTTTTTGTGCCTTCCCAGCATTCTGGGTTTCACACATTTGCTGTAAGAAGCACTGAAAGCTGCAGAACACCTGTGCCTGCTGATGGTTAATCTGCCTGATGTGTGTGTGCACACAAATGGGACCAATGCACCCTACGAAGATGCAGGAATTCCCATTACAGACCCACCACAAACTAAGGAAAAAGCTGTTCTTACAAAGAAAAACTTGAATTTGATGATTTCTTTCTAGATTAGGTAGCTTGTTTCAAAGGCTATTACATATGCAGTAAGTGAAGAAAAATCAAGAGGCTATCTGAAAATGCAAGCAATCCACTTCATCACTGCTTTTGGGAAGTGTGGTGCTTTATAATTAAAAACCATTTTTCCACTAAGTCAGGCTTCAAGGGAAAGTCAGAGAGGGAAAATACTGCAATTGATCTTCCCCTTGCAATAGCTGAAGTGTTTGAACTAAAGATGAAGGTTTTTCTGAAGATGTAGCCTTTTATGAAAGCTACAGTAACTCTTCCTGCAGAGGAAGATTAATCCCAAAGACGGCTTAGAAACCATGATAAAGAACTTAAAACTACATATACAAAATTTATGTAGCAGTGTCCAATAAAACTCTATCCCCAAAAGATCAAAGTGTCCTATGTTTACATGATATTCACCATTCCATTAATATCAGGGTGTATATTTTAAAATATTAACTTCTTATTGTAAGCATTTAATTTCATAAAGTCTGCAGATAAACAACTATTTTCAATTAAAATCAACAGTAGTTAAACCATCATCTTTTCAGTATTTTTTTGTCTTATCATGCGTTGTCACTCATTTGATTTTCTCTTTACTGACAGAATCTGATTTTTCTACTTAATCTACTGAGACATTACACATTTTGAACTAAATGTAACTGCATGCTCCCCATACAGTAGCGCAAATGACCTGTGTTGCATTTCTACTCAAAAAGGCAGGAGGCACACTCCATTTCTGCACCATTCAATTCAGCACAGTGTAAAAATGTAGACAAAGATTTAACTCACATGCAAATCTATGAATCTCCTCAACGTTTGGGAGGGAGAAGCTTGTGATGGTAGTGCTCCTATTGCAAAGTTTATAACACATCACCTACACTGCAATGGACCTGAACTGGGAAATCAGCCTGTGGAACCTCAGGAATTAAGATTGTGACATTATCTTCTCCTTTCTCTGTATTTGTTATTTGTCCTGAAGGACTCGTGAATGAGACTCACAGTGTGCGTGCACACATGTTCACACATATCCTTAACTTATCAACGAGGATTTAATACATCTCCTGGATACTTCACTGCTGAGAGACTGAAGTCCTTTTTTACAATGAGGTATACCAAAAAAAAAAAGGTATATACCAAAAAGAAAGAGGTTACCAAAAAAGTATAGCAAATTCAGTTTGACAATTGCATTGTCACATATCATTTCTCTGTATCAACATGAGTACACTGAGATTATTTGACAACAGTAACTGCAAACCAGCTAGAAACTGTAAACAACAAAAAAAGAACCCTCCTCCTGAATAATCACAAGGGACTTTGCTTTTTTCAATAAAGAATACAAATCCTGAATATTTACAACCTGAGAAAATGAAACTCGATGATAACAGGAAGTTACTCTTATCAATGTCCTGGTGTTGGAATCAGTAACAGAATGTGCTACACTTTCCTCCCAGGTACTTCCATAAACATATCTACAACTTTGTTCTGCCATTCTCCTTCACCTTGATTTCATGTCACAGCCATACTTTTTATCTTGCCTTATTATCTTCCTTTCTGCAAGTCAACCACCTTATCCACAGACCCAGGATTCGCCATACAATTACAACTGAACAAAACTAGCAATGATTATCTGCAGCCCAACTGCCAAATAAGTTACAGTAAAGATAGAAAAAAATATAGCATTTAAAGTTGCAACAACTGCTCTTTTAGTACTTACCTCTGGAATATATACAAACAAATATTAGAAGTGAATTTCTTCTAAAAAGTGCATATTTTAAGTCAGATACTGGCAGCACCAATACTAGAACATAAACTGGCAGTTTCATATCAGCGTCTCATATTAAAATAGTTTGTCAAAAACACTGGGATTTTCATTCTCAAAATATGGCTGAAGGTTTTATTTCTGTACAGGAATGAAATTATTCCCAACAGGTACACAGCAGAAAGTAAGCTATATGTCAATAATCTGAACAAATTGTCTATCAATATATCTTCATGTGCATAAAAGTCACCAATATGCCATTTTAGAAATTCTTGTTTTTCTGTGTTTCCACCCACTTGTTGTAAAATTAGGAGTTTACTAATTTTCATTCTTAATGCTAAATTTATGTGTAAGGAAAAAAAAGATCTTTCCTTTTCAAGACAATTATTTGGCTTTTTAATATTTAATTGTATCACATCTTGATGTTTCTTTTGTGACCCTATTCAATCTGAAATGATACAGAGCAGCAATCTGAAGTTCAATTAGGAAAAGATGAATTTCAGCACTTCAGAGTTCTCAACAGACTGGCCAAGGAACTTCCCACTAAAATAATAAAAAATATACTTTGGTTCCGAAAAAAATGAAACAAAAGTCTTTTATTTCGGCCACTTAATGAAATCTGGAAAAATCCCTTGTGGTTTTCATGTCTGACATCTCAATTTTGACAATTATGAAAGCCTTCTACAGTCTCCATTTACAGGCTAAAATAATACAATTTTCCTTTCAAATCAGTCATGTTAAAAATACTTGGCGAATACATTTAAGAAGCTAAATCTCAAGCCAGTTTAGGAACTGTGATGAGTTTTGACCCATTTTGAGCCATTTACAAAGGCTAGTGGATTTCCTCCCTCACTGCACACAAGCTCACCTTTGCAAGGCAGAAGCAGGCCAGCATTCTCACCCGGTAGAAGCACTGCTCCTGTTCCAGGATGTCAGTCAGGGCAAGCCGGGATGCCGGAGTAGGGAACTTCTCCAGTGCCAGAATGGCTTCTTCTTGTGCCACCACATCTCTCTCATATCTCAGCTGACACTGCCACATGAAATCAGACTGCTCAAACTCCACCTTCCTCAGTACTGACATATCAGGATCTATTCTTATCCAGAGCAAGGGGGAGTCAGCACTAAGACAGACATAAAAAATATTAATAGCTTACAAAATTTCAAGACTATAGAAATTCTAAAGATATTCTAACTTGTTATGAGTTATTTGGAAAGTATTTAAATTCAAAGAATCATAACAAAATACAGGTTAGAGAGAACTTTTGAAAGTCTTCTGTTCCAATCTCTTGCTTCTAGGATGACAATTTGACAGCCTCCCAGGGCAATCTGTCCACACCTCCAATATATCAAAGTGAATACAGTGGTTTAGTATTTTTAACCTACAGATTTTTGTTTATGGTAAACTACTGTATGATCCCAGCATATTTAATTCTATGTGCTTGGATGCTACAATTTTCCTAACTGATAAGCACTTTATCACCTTCTAAAGGTTAAGACTACAAAAAAAAAATCCAAGAAAGAAAATCTGGTGGTAAATACACTTTTTTTAATCAATAGATGTGAAACTCCTTTACAACCACTCACATGCTATGATGTTGAAAGCTGACAAGGGTAACCATGAAAATGATAAAAATCAGGTTTAAAGTTATCCCACAGATAAAATGACTCAGTTGTATTCCATCCAAACACACATTTTACATTTTATTATTCACACAGCACCGTGACTGCAGAAGTAATTTATGGGAGCAACAAGCACAAATTATGCAATACATTCTCTTACTCATTTTTCCATATAAAATCACAAAATCAAAATACAATAAGGCATTAGGAGACAGTTTGGACCGATGAAAAGAGCATCATTATAAATATGATGTATATTTCTGTATATGTTTGCAGAAAATCTAGAATTGCCACCAAGTGAGTAGCTAGAGAAGAAACAACAGTACAAGAGTGTATACACAAGATTTAGAAAATGGAATGTGTATTATCACACATGCTTGGAGCAGAGAAGCCCAAACTGGACAGCAGAATGACAACACCACAGATCAGGTTATCAGATGAAATGCAAGTGTCTTGCATAAAATCCTATCCCAGTTCAAAGGTCATTCTAAGATCACTGAAGTATCAGCTCAGTGTAATGCAGCAGGGACCTGAACACAAATGAGCAAAAATAGTCACAAATATTAAGGGTAACTATCCTTCAATACAATTAAACTATTCATATGTCAACTGTCATATGGAAATCATAGCAATGATTTGCTCAATGTAAATACATCTTACAAATTTTTTTCTCATAATGTATTAGATGAGGTTAAATTTATGAGAATCTGCAACACTTTTAAGGTGACAAGCAATCTATCCTTCTTCAAAGAGACACCACTGGCTTTCAAGAGCAGAATATTTACTTCCCTCAGCCAGAAAACCAGGTGCCAACACCTCCACTGTCTCTGAGGGTACTGCTGGCTCCAAGTCAAGGAGGGTAAGGCAGGTATTTACATTGAGCAACAATTTGCTTCCAAAGAGCTTAACAGCTCCAACTGAAATGAATGTCAGTGTGGATCTCAGTACAAAGCACTTCATCATTATTTTAATCCAGAGGAATTCTTTTGTAATTACAGATTTCAGGAACCTGTCTGTATTAGTGGCAGTTAAATGGTCTTCATCAAGATCCAATAAAAATTGCTCTCACTTTGTTTCAAACAAATTCTTGTTTACATTTTACCTATGAAGTCAGCTGAAAGGTTATCACTGGAAATGTGTTAGAGTGAAGAAATTTATTATCACCATACCATGTCCAGATTTTTTATAAAATCTGATTATATTGGTTAACCCATACTTTTTACACTTTGCCAGCATTTCCTAGCTACAGCAGAAAAGTTTCAGTAAAGACAGAGAAATGTGAGATTGTCTTGAAAGTTGTCAGTCATGTAATAAAGTACAACTTTATTATCCAATCCCTCGAAATAGCATGCTTTAGACAAGGGGAAGATGGCTCAGACTCTCACTGAGAAACTCCAACAAGCCAACTTACTCCATAGCAGAAAGGTCCATGTCCACCTCTTCTCCATTCATCAATGGAATCTTTTTCTTCTTATTTCTATTAAAAAAGAGAGGAAAAAAAAGTACTACTTACCAGACTGGCAAATATATGTTTAAAAATTAAGTTTAAGACTGCAAAAGTACTCCGTGCCTTTCACCACACAAAAGCATAATATTCACAAATTTGAGCTATGTATCCATTTCTATAATTTTTACTCCCACTATTTTTACAATTACAGATAAACACAGAAGCTTGAGAAGTAGAATTCAAAGTAACTATCAAAGCCCATTAGAAGATGGAGAGACTCTATGAGGGAAGTCTGTCACTTTCCTTGTTCCTTAGGTTTACCCAACATTCCTGGCACTCTCTTCACTTGAGGCACTCCTCTGGCCTACATGTGTCTTCCCTCTAATTTGTGATTCTCATTCAAAGACATTTTGAATAATTTGATTAATTAGAGTCTTCATTCAACTTATTCTACATAAATGAGGTCTTCATAAAACTTCTACAAAATTACTTATAATTAAGAACTGTGTAAGGTTTCTTGCTGTCCTTAAAGAGTATGAAATTCTCCACTTACATCACAGGTAAATCTTATTCAGTAAGATTAAGAAGAAGCATATATTTATCATCAAATGCCCTAAATGTTTTCATAAACCCATAGTAAAAATACCTGCAGTTAGTATTTCAGCTCTTACCTTCTGCTTTTAGAATGGCAAGGTATATCATGTTTAAGACTGTTTTCTTCAATCTGCAATGTATGGTTGAATGAGCCATCAAGTTCTTGCACTGTCACTTTAAGAGGACCCTTCAAGTTCACAAGATTTTGTTATTAACATTAAACTTACGTTTATTAATGTATACACCATACTTGTACTTGTAGGTTAAATATGGAAAATGCACCTTACCACGTATTTCTGAGTCCCAGGAGATGTGTAATCTTGTTTTATTTCCAATTCCAATACATTCCGTTTTCTATTAAATGCAAAGCTACCATAAAATTTTACCACTCCACTCTGATCCCTAATAAGCAGTATAGGAATTCTAGTGCACAATGCAATAGTTATAAAAATCCATAATTCTCAATTCTTAAAACTTGTTTTATGCTTCTTTATTCCTAGAATTTCCCATTCCAAGAAAATCTGGAAATAAAATCACTGATGTTCATTCATGAAATTCTGGGGTTTTACATTCCTTAAATTTTTTCCCTTTCATGTTTCTTATGGAGAAAAACTGAAATGAAATGAAAACTACCCGGTATGAGGAAATTAATTATGAAAACCTATTCTGGACTCCACCACATCCAATGTCCTTGGCATGCTCTCAGAAAAAGTAATTGTGTAAGACTTCAGTAATTTCAATATGGTTTTACTATGTATTTTAGTTAAATAAAACTAAGGGGAAAATGTAGACATTAATTTCTGTCTTCTACCCACACTACATTTAACTCCATTATTTTATTATAGTTTTCCAAACTAGGTCATGTGAGCATTCATATATGTGTGTGTGTGTGTGTGTGTGTGTTCAGGTATACATGAAAGTATACAATATGAATGATAAAAAGTAACAATCTCACTCTAAATTTTTGCCCAGGCAATGAGTTCTTCAAGACAATTTTTCCTGTGAATAATTTCATCCTTCATTTCTGTATCACAGACATTACTACACTTGACTTATAGTAAACTAAAACCCTAAACTGAAGCATTTTAGTCTAATGCACACGCTCACAAGTCTCTGACAATATGAGACAAAAGCAAGGGAGGAAAATCTGTTCTTTCATGTCCCAACATTTAAGGGAAGAGCTTCCATATTCAAAGACACTTCTTCTCATACAGAGGTTATTAACTTTCCTCTCAAAATTTGGCCATTTGACTAAATATCTCAGACTGGTTCTGTTCATGGATGCTGCCTTCATGAAGCTCTGGGACTTTGTCATCAGGTACAGTTTAAGACATTTTTAGTGTTTTTTCAGCATGAGGTTTACACTCAGCATCAACACAACCCTTGCTAATGGCATAATACAGCCAGCACTACTTAATAGCAGTAAGATCTCCCGAACAACATGAAGACCTTCTGTAAGATCATAGGATCTTACAGGGTAGGAAATCCACTGTCACAGGAATAGCAGTGTTTGAGGCATGCTAGGGAAGTTGCAATCATAGAATTAAGTACAAGTTATAGTTACCAGGATCAACCTTGGGGCCGAAGTATGGAAAAGATGAAAATAATCCCCAAATGTGTGAAGTACAATTCTTTCTTCCTTACAGAACAGATGCAGTTAAGATTCACCCAGCTCAGATAGTAATGCTGACATTTAGCTGTCACTGCAGTGGGAATACAGAACTCCTATTTTTCTTAAGTGCTTGGCACAGCAAGGTATGTAAATCAGAATAATGTGTATTTATATTTTATGAACACTTCTGATGCAAATAAAATACTAATCTCTCAAATTACTCTATAAATACTAATTATATAGTGCTTTTTAGTTAAGATATTGAGATGCATGAATGTTGTTAAGTAACCCCAAATAAATACCCTCTTTTGTTGTCTGTTACAACAGTAAGGTAAGTTTTTGCTGCAGTCACATACAACTCTAGCCTGGAGTCACATTAAATAAAACTTACAATGAAACCTGCTAAATGGAGTCACTTCAAATTGCCCCTCATATCAATTCAAAATAAGAAACCCTGTTTCTTGACTAATATCACTTAAATTTGAAGAATCAATACACAGAGGTTTATTTTATCTGAAACTGTACTATTAACACAAGCTACCAAGCTATTAAAGTATATTGCAAACTAATAGTCTGTGCTTTAGGTTACTTATTTCATGGTGAATTACTGGAAATCACATATTAAAATGCACCAGACTATAGTATTTTCCATGTCCCAGTTCAGCATATTTCTATGGGCAGTGTCCTCTGGAATCCTTTTAGTATAATTTGGCCTTAAATTCCAGCAGAGTTCCTGTGTTTCTTTCAAATGAAAACTTAAAATAATGAAATCCCTTCTAGTAAAGAACATGTAGAAAAGCCAGTGCAGTTCAAAGGACTATGAAAAGATTGTGAACTTGTGGCTCACACATATATCTAATTCACAGAATAATGTACTTTACTGTTTTAGGCAAAAATATTTCATGCCCTTCTTCACATTCTTTTGATTGTGCCAATTAAAAAACCAAATTCATTTTCCATATTAACAATCCAGACCAAGAATAAAAAGGATACACCCATTGCTTTATTAAAGGTTGGATGTCTTTGCCTGAGACATTTGAGATAGATTTCAAAAACCCAGATGTGGAAACCAACATCTGACTCCACATGTGTGACTGGAACTTCTGAGATGAAGCAGTACTGGCCAGACTCAACAACTTGTTGAAAACCTAAAATGATAAAAAGTTATTACTTTCCCTAAACACTTATATATAAAATAAGCTTTTCTGTTTAATTTCTGGTTAATTGCAACTAAAGGTCAATAAACTCACTTTCTGATAACTGGCTTTGAAAAAAGTTTTGCAAAATAAAGGAAATTATTTGCTTGACCGTATCAGAAATTTTCAGTCCAAATGTATCTTCCTCCAAATTACACATATATATACATATACAAAATCCATTAAAAGATCATCAACTTTCAACAATTATCTACAGTAAAAGAAATCACTGACTATATCTTCTTTTTCAGAAATTAAACATTCATCAGATTCTCTGCAGTATTTTCAACCTGACCACCACCTAAAATAGCTCTAGCACAATAAGATATATGTTTTCCTTAAAAATAACCTCAAACCAAGGCAAAAACTCCCAACCCCCTAAAAACCTGAAGCAGATGAGAAAATATCACTAATTTTTAACTGTTTATTTGTAGCACCCTATTCTTTCTAAAGTATGTCACAAAAGATAATTAGTGAAGAAGAGAAACTACAGTTCTGCAGAAGTTCAGTATTTCAGAATAAAATTACAATCTTCTATTCAAATGCTTCTCTAATACAAGCATCTAAGTTTCATCTAGCACTGAAAACTTCATATAATGAGAGAGCTGGAGCTGGATTCTCATAATTTATAACTTCATTAGGTTAGCTCACAGCAACACCAGTCAGGGACAGGAAAACTGGCTCTCAGTGTTAAAAACAAATCAAAATAACCCAAACCAACGAAACACCTTAAGATTAAAGAGAATATGCACCATATAAAAAGTACTGTAAGTTATGCATAAGAATCCTAACCCAAATGACCAAATGTTTGTGCAGTCCTGCTAAAACTGAAACCACAGATGGAATCCTATGATGACCTGTTCTCTACTTCTCTGAACTCTATTTAATGAACAGAAATGCAATTGAAGACAAGGAGTTTTTTATATTCCACATAATCATCTAAATACCTACCTGTAACATGAATTCCATGCTAATTCTGTTCTCAATCAGTCTCATAACAAGATGTGCTTTACACTGGAACATCGTGTAATACTCCCAGGACAGTGTATGGGGGTGTTTGATAGAAAAATGTAAATGTGAAGCAGGGCTGAAAAAAAAAATCAAAAAAACTTTTATTTTGCATTTTATTGAATGAAATTTAAAATGTACCTGAGCAACCAAGCTTTGAGCTGCACCAACAATTACTTAGGATTTCTTGTACTGCCTTAGTTACAAATCATGGCACACTTAAAATGACCACACACTTATCCAGAGAGGTGACAGGGGTGTATGTACCTGGCATACACCCCTGTATGTGTACACAGTACTTGCTGTGCAGAGATTAATGGCACAAGATAGCTGCTGTCTAGGGCTGTAGAGACAATGGGAGCACCAGCACACTGAGCAAGGAACCTGTGACTGAGTCTGGAAATTACTCATGAATCAGCAATCTTCCTGCACCACTTCCATTTAAGAGTGACTGTATATAGTAAATATTTTGTATTTAAATAAACTATTATTGCAATTCAAGAAAAGTAGGAGTTTTACAATTCACAGAATACTTTCATGTAATGGGCCTAAGGAATTTCTTTCCTTTTATTTTAGTTAGCAACTTTATCTTTCAATATTTTGGCAAACTTGGTATCTTCTAAATCAGGTAACATGGCAAAGAAGACTAGGCAGATAATATTTAATCCTTGAGAAGAAGAAGACTTTTTTGCCTCCTTTTAAAGAGACTCTTATTTGAGAAGAAGAAATTATTAACAGTCTGACTTAATTTTCTTGATGAACCAAGCCTATGGCAACTGTATGTTGCTTTGCTATGTTTCTTCTTTTAGTATTTTTCACAGGACATCTGAGTTTTCCATAAATGAGTAACACACATCTGAAGAAACCAGGTTTGCTGAGGTTCACTAGCAAGTGTTCTAGAAAGACAGTACCAGCATTTAGCTCCTTGACTGCAGCCCTTAATATTTCAAATGGCAAGAACCAAGGTAGCTGCAATACCTTAATAACTTTTCCATTCTTCTATGTATTGGGAGAATCTCTTGACTTCGCTCATGAGTATCTGCTTAAACATCTTAAGAAGATACAAAAAGAGAACTGTTTCTAAATTTAAGCAAGTATTACCCTTCTAAGGTACAGTAATTTTGTGAAAAAGATGTAGGTTAACTCCTTCTTTGTAGTTGATAAGCATTGCTGAAGCTCTGCTTATCACAACTCTCCTGTTATTCTGGATACTTCTCTATTCTGAGGTAGGGAAGGATTAGTAACCATGAAAGAATTGAAATTCAAGGAGGAAACTGAGGTTGTGGCTCAGACATTATATAATAATTTGGTCTCAGAATAAAAACTATTTATCCAGCTTCAAATTATACAGTTGATTGACTTTTGTAAAATTCTTTTCTTGCAAATTACAACTGAGCCAGTACCCACAATTCCAAGATCTCTTTTTAAATTTACTAAGTGTTGATTGATTTTGGTACTGGTTACATTATTTAACATACAAAACAAACTGACACAAGTTTGCACTTGACAGTTACATCTTGTAGTTCACTCAATATTAATACATTTCTTCAGATTATATTTTTCTTCAATCATTATTTTATTGAACAGGCACCAAAACAGTGTTAAAATTACCAATATGGACCTAGAGCCTTTGTCAAAGGAGACAATGAAGAACCTTTTCCACAGAATTTTATAATGCTCATGCTCCTGAAAAGAGTCCAGCCATTCCATATAAACCCTGTTAGTAAGCTTCTTCCATATGAAACATAAAGTTTTTAATTTTTACAGTAGGGTGGTACCAGCACAATCAAAGGCTGAAGAGAACCACAGTCTGAGAGAGGAGGACACGAAATGAAAAGGTTACACACAAAGCTTCCCTCTGAAGCTTTCATCCACACAGCAGTGAATCTGCAGTTTTCTTTCCTGCCTTTTCCCAGGCTCTGGGACTTTGACTTTTAGAATAAGTACTCTGGAGTGCAGTGTCGGTACTACACCAGACATAAACAGGAAGAATCTGAGACTTTTGTTTTGCACACAAATTCATTTGTGTGCCTGAAGGAAGTTGGGTTTTTGGTTTTTATTTCCCCTGATGATTTATTATATTTTACTTCTAATTTAGCTGAAAAATGAGATTATTACTTAACACAAATTTCCTTCATATTATTATTAATTGGAACTGCTGTGCTGCAAATACATTTGCCAGCTGTATCATAACAAGTAGAACAAAGAAATGAAATGCATAGAATGTACTGGAGAAAAATGTTCTAGGCCCCATTATGAAAATACTTTCCTTCAATACAAATTATCTCTCAGAATCAGGACCACATCCATAATTTACATAGCAATCTACAAAGAACAGCAAGTTGTAATTCATACTTAAGTGATGCTGCGGTTATTATTAACAAGCTACAACACAATGAAGTAGTAAAACAACTAGAAACAGTTTCCAACAATATATCACAGCAAGGAAACACAACTTTAGGAGCACTAGGACAAGATTTTGTCAATTATTTGTGTCCAATTCTAGAATAAATATAGTGCAAGTAGTAAAATTAAGAGTTAGAAAGAGATTTTGATTTTAGTGAATTTCCTTACCTAAAAATGTGCCCCTTATCTCTAGTGTCATCTGATCTTATTACCGTGAATGTAGTGATTTTCAAAATTCATTCAGTCCTAAACCCAGAGTTTTAATTTTAAATTAACAAAATATGGATTTGCACACTATCAAGTGCGAAAGAACCACTGTTATAGACAATTTTGGTTGTATTTTCCTAAGACAACAACTTCTGTGCAGTAAAGAACAGAAGTTGACATAGTAGTCTACCTGCACAGGCTCAACCTTGCAGTTGTGCACATGCTGCCTGTGTGTTTCCAAAACAGGAAAGGCTGTGTTAAATGGAGATCAACATTTGCAAGAAAAGAAAAACACAGCAAAAGTTTGTCACTGAAACCCATATCAACTTACTGATCTGACATGCAGCAGTACTTTCCACCTCCAGTGTTTAGCACTTCTCAGTGGGTAGTACTGGAGTATTACAAGAGAGGGAAGGGGAATCATTCCAAGCTGAACACACTGAAGCTACAATTATTGGGAAAATAAAAACCCAGACAGTTCCCACTGGTAACTAACAGTACTTCCCAGATGACTGATCTAATAATTTTCTACCCCCAATATACTAAGAAATCTCAGTCTAAGACTACAAGGTGGTATCTGAGAGCAGAAAGAAAAAAGAGCAAAGAAATAGAAAACTGATGATACCATGAAAAAGCCTGAAAATCACTAACCACTCCAGAAACAGCTCACATCAAAATTCTGGCTCCATGTTCTCTCTTATCCTCTTACTAAAAAGCAGTTTCGTAACAGCATTAAAAACATTCATTATGCTTCATTTCCTCTGAGATTCAAATTGAAAGAAAAAAAAAAACCCAACAGTTAGAATATACTCAAGATGTACTTTATGGGACTGGTAATACATGCCTTGGGCAGCTTGACATCTTGAGCCTTTGGCCTTGTGCTACACAACACACCCAAGGCATATATTAATGGCCCCATAAAAACATACCCTGCAATGACTTGCAGCTTAAATAAACATACTTGTCTTTCTCTTTTCCTCCTCCGAATATTGGATGCAGTAAAACTCCTCCAGTCTTCAGTTCGTATGCCACGATTTGATCTAACTCCTAAGAACAAAATACATAAGTAAGCATAATTTTGAAGAGCAGAAAAATTATTTAAAGACGACAGGAAAGCTTTTAATATTGTTCAAGTCATACCTCCTAATAAGTTTGGAGAAGTATTTTAAAATCAGGGATGTTCCTCAAATGACAAACAATAATAAAACAGTAGAAATTAGTATTTCATACTTGTTCAGGGGCTGAACAGGGGGCTAATGCCCAACAGTGCTGAACTACCTTATAACCAGAGTATTATTATTCAATAAATAAGTTGTCTTTGACCAAAATAAACAAATGTGATCAGTATTTCATGCAGTGGAAAACAACAACAGATACACACACACAAATAAATACAATATATTAAATATAGATATAAATAAACAAATATATATGTCTGGCCCAAGCTCTGTGCTGGGTCTGAACTTGTGTGATGCCAGGTTAACAAGCACACCTTAAGGCAGGATGTTTGTAAGGGTGACTTTTGTCACCCAAAAGTCAACATGAATCAAATTGTGTCAGCTTAAGGACAGGAAATGGAAACTGATGCCTGTCTACAATGTACTGTAAAGATCTTCCAAATGTTTATATGTGTTGAGATTTATTGATACATATCAACTTGCACACCTTCATATATTGGTAATACACTAGGAAAAAGGCAGAACTGGAGCCTGTGACAGTAGCACCTCTCAATTCTATGTGGACACCTCTGGATTAGTGTGGACAGATGTGGAACAACATGAGCAACTTCTGCTGTAGACAGCAGTGAACTCTTCCAAAAGACCTCCACCCAGTTCTGCTGCTCTATGCAGCACCCACACCTCTAGCACAGACAACACCAGACTGGGGAACTGAATGAGCATTAGGCAGAGAAGGACATGGTACTGGGTCCCCAGGTGAGTAAGGGATGTAAATGGAGCAAGCAGAGTTAGGATTTACTTTTTGGAATAGGGAGAGTAAGAGAAGGTGATGAGAGAAAGAAGATACCTATCTTTTTGTGAATAAATGTTACTTGCAAAGAATGAGGAGTCATTGCTGCTATCACTAGAAAGTACCTGTCTGAAAGATTACATTTGGAAACGTAAGTTCTAGATAGAATTTTTTTTTCCAAGAAAAGAAATCACTTCAAACAGGGAGTTTTGTACTGTTTCCTTATTTCATTTAGTACTTTAATGATACTAAAAGATACCTGAACCACACTGATCCTAGCTAATACTGGAGCCTTTCTGAGCTATATGGATAGCCATCACAGTATAAGATATTCACCAAATACAAACTCTCATGAATCCTATATTCTATTCTAAGTATTCCAAAAGTAGTATCTTTTTTTGACTCCTTTTTTTTGTTCAGGAGTCCAAACAAAAAGAGGAAAACTGATTGCATGGAGAGATAACAACAATTATTATTCATTATTCATATGTCAGTCACAAAAATCTATTTTTGTGCTTGTTTGTATGCTTGGTGTTCTTCCTTGCAGCAAGCGGTAAAAATATTTTAGCTCTGAGGTTTGTCACTACTACAAAGGTCTTTGGATTGCAATGCAAAGCTATATTATACTCAGGTTTTATACTGTATTTTCTTTGATGCAAAATGTCTGAAAGATACAGAAAATGCTATGATGTTACCTGTTTAATCCAGTGGCGATACTCATTAACACCAAAGGTTTTTTTCATCCAAAGGCCATAAATGTAACCAGAGATTCCCTTTAGCACCCATTCATCTGACCTAGTATAAGAAGGAAACGTGAATTATATCACTTCAGAGGATATTTTGTAAGGGATGATATTTCTGACCAGCTCAAAAATAGCCTAAAATTTCAAGAGGTTGTATAACTTCTCTAAGTCAACAGAAGTCTGATGAGCTGTTAACCAATTTATGGAACATGGCACCTGGACAGAACCAATGAAACTGAAGTCAGTGAAAACTCAGCTTTTACCACAGAAATCCAGATTAAAATATAAAACCTATTTTAGCTGAAACAATAATAATAAACAGGTGGAAATGGACACTAAAGTCAAGGCAACTGCTAATCAATATGATCTTTACTTCCTGATACACAACTCTGTGAAGTGCAGGAGACCTGGACAGCAAGTAGACAAAATACCTATCTCAAAATTTGGTGAACACCCTTTTAAACACACCTTCTGTAAGTTATGTTCTAAGAGAGAAAAAATAGACAAAAACTAAAACTAGATCATGATCATGACTAGAACCTTAAACAGAAAAATGACACTGTACACAGGATATGATGAAGTAAACAGAACAAGAACATATGAAAATGGAGTAAAGAAGGATGCAAAAAATTGTCTTCATCACAGAAGTAGGTTAGAAATAAAGAAAAGAGCCATAGAAATTACAACAGTACAAACATCAATTTAAGAACATGTTGATTTCCCTTGTTTTTAAGACAAATATGCTCTGGGACATAGACTTTTGCCATTAAAAAAAGTAATGGGCTACTTGTCCCTAGTAAGTAAACTGCATGCAAAAGGATTTAAGATAAATACTGATCAGAACTGCAAGAGCCATTTGGGGAGGTTTTCTGAGACATGGAGTTATAGCCACCTTAGCAGGTACTTTCCTGTTTGACACTATTTTCTGCATTCTCCTCCCTGAAAAACTTATTAGTTCTGTGCTCTATAAGTACTTTGCATGCAGGCTGTACTTCATCATCCAAAATATCTAACAGACATTGATAATGCAAAAGAATCAGCTTTCTAAAATTTTCAGACACCAAAGCACACTACAACATTCAGGAAGATATATTCAATCTATACAATCTTTGGAGCTTTTATCTCTCACATTCTCCTTTCAAAACAACAAAAAATACTAATGGAATTTCATTTATTGAGCTTATTATTCTTACATTTTTTCCCATTTTTGCTTTCTTCTACAATTACTGTTTGACTTATTTTTTTGATAAAATGCAATTTGCGAATTAAACTTTGAACTTCCTAGATCTTCCCCATTTTTTGCAGAATACTGTGGTAAAATACTTACCAGGACATTCTGGATATGAAACATCCAAAGAATTGCTGGGCCAGGGCCTGTGCCAAGCATCTCCTTGTCAGTGGAGTTTCATCTATAATCATTGCGCTGTGCAAGAGATTTGTGCTGGATCCCCACAAAAAGAAAATAACACAACATGAGCATTGGCTCCAAAGAAACAAAAAGAGACCTTGCCTTAAAAACCAAAACAAGTAAAATAATTTCCTCAGTGTTTTTTCAGTGAGATAGTGACAGATTTTTTAATTTTTAATAATCTTAATTCAGGCAGATCTCCTGCTATTATCATCTATACACAACTGTCTGTATGGAGTCTAAGCAGTTTAACTGGTGACACACTCTTGGATTCCTGATACCTTATTCCAGCTGGAGCAAAATAAAACACAATCATATTTCTGCACTTAATTTGAGATTAAATACCTCATGCATGGCATTTCTAATTCAGAAGGAAAATCACCACCAGTTTTTTCTTTAAGTAAATGCAACATCTTTATAACAGATAAAAATGGAAATGGTGTTAAAAGCCCATAATGTCAATAAAAACAAGCCTTTTCAAACTAGGAAGCCCAACATTCAGGCTAAAAAAATAACTAGAGTTTCACACATTTCTCAATAGTCTTGGATCTAGAGCTTCTAGGCCAGTGGATTCAAAAGGTGCCATTTTCTCAAATACTAACCTGAAAATACTCATGGATGCATAAGCAGCTACTTCAACATAAGCTTCATCTATAAAAACAGTCTTGAAACAGGAGTAAGGATAGCGGCAGGTAAGAATCTCCTCATAAAATTCAAACACCTCGTGAAGGTATGATGTGGTATGTTTGAGCAGTGGGAGAAGTTGTGGTAAGCAAAAGTGAGTCACCTACAAACAAAGGAAAATTAGTTACAAGACCTACAAACATATTTAAACACATAAATATCAAGTATATTATATATCTCAGGGAAGAAACCCAATTTCAACTACATTTGCCCCATAAATTAAGACATAAATGGAATTGCTGCTTATTTAAAGGCTTTTTTTTTGGAGATAAATTTAAATGCAGACATTACAATACAAGCTTTATCATACAGCTGTAGTAATGAAGGTTGATCTAGAAATACCCGTTCTTGGACTAATATATACTGACTGCAACAGGAAACACCAGTAATTCTTTAAAAAAAAAAAAAGGAGGCTTCTTTGATGAAGATTACCTCATGCATGTATGGATCAACAAGGATTTCAAAAGGTCCAATTGCCAAGGAGATGTTAGAAGCTGCAGTTGGAATAGTCAACATGTAATGAAAAGTCTTCTTTCTCATATCATGGGTGTAAACAGTTTCTACCAAATCTCCATTTGAAACAGCCACCATTGCAGCATCTACAGTATACTCAAGTTTCCAGGTACACAACTCAGAATATGAATCCACACAAGGAAACCAAAATCTACAAAAGTGAAGATTAGGGGGAAAATGGTTATCAATTATACTTAATAATCATACTCTTTTTCACAGATGATTTTTCTTTCAAGTTCCAAATTATATCCCTAAATACTTTAAGAATATATGAATGTTGACATACTGACTTCTACAATACATTAACTTTATAAAGCTTTACAAGCTTTTTTGTCTTTACCTCTTGCTGAGCTATAAAGACGAGACATTCTAATTACTAGTCATTAGATGCTACTTCACATCAGTAAGCCCCTTTGAAGCACAAATTAAATTTTATAACTTTTTAAACTTGAAATAATTAAAAGAAATTACTTGTATTTCCTACACTTTGAGAGTAAATAGCAAATACAAATCTAACATTCAAAGACAGTTTTCTTACCTTGTAGAATTTTGATAGCCACATGAAAAGACATGAGCCCCTCTTTCTGCCATGTTGCCCTCCATGTCCGGTACCACAAAATGAAGGCCTCCTTTTGGCTGGTCCAGAGAAAAGTTTATATGCACCTTCAGGACTTTTAACTCTGCAGCACAAAGAACAAAACTGAGTAAGTATATACAACTTACATGAAAGTTATTGTAGAATAGTAACTCAGTTTTGGACTCCAGGTCTTTAAAGACTATGATAACTTCATTCTCATGGGCTTCCCAGTCCACTTACAAAGTACAGCTCAAAGCTTACAAAACTGAGACCTCCCTAAGCACAACTTATAGGAGATGCATGTACAAAAATCTTTACTAATTAATAAAAACTGCAATTGGAGTCACATTTCATCTTCTGATTCCCCAACAGGAAAGCATATTTATACAGACTGTATCCTAACCATGATCTTGGCATCTAGCTGAAAAAATTTTCTCCAAAAACTCTATGAAGCAGGCACATTCTTAAAAGACATATTATTATCATTTGCAGTTGCTTAAAATCTCTTATTATACTTTTCCTGTAACTTAAGTGTCTTCACTTTGGTTTAGGTTCACAGAAATCTCACCTATGAATAGATTGGCAATCCAAGAATAGGCTGAAATTTATCCAACAAGTGTCACCATATTTTGGCATTCAAACATTGAAAAGTGAAATCATACATGTTTGAATATTTTCCCTTCTAGTCTTGCTCCTCTTGTGTAAGGCAACAGGAACTTACACAAAAATTAAAATAAACAAAAATGTCTTTCCCATTAAGGTGCATCTGACAATATTGCATGAGTCAGCCTCGTGTTATTCTCTCAGAGGTCTCATAAATCCATGGGAAAAACCAATAAAACCATGCAAGAAATAATATAAGAAACTAGTAGATCCTGGTAAGAAAATACACAACACCAGAGAGTAACTTATTAAAACGGTTCCTTATTCCAGGATCTAGTATGCTAGTTTATACAGGAGTCTACTTTCACACCAAATCAATTTCAAAGTGACCATTCCTCGAAGTGAGGTGGCATAAAATTAGTAGAGCTTTGTAAAAAGATGTATATACTATATCCTTGTAAATGATTTTTTTGTTGGACCATATATATTGTAAGCAGCTTCAAAATTACAATTTAACCCCCAGCAAGCTTCATTATTCCCACTTCCCCAAGTGTTCTCCTGGGGTCATGACCACCGAAGAGTACGTTTGTATATAGTGTCAAGAAGCCCTGCAACACTCCTCCCTATTACCAAAAAGTGCAATTATTTTTCAGAATTCAAGTGGAGAGGAAAAAGGAAACAGTAGTCACAAATTCATAAAATAATGTTACACTACTTCTATTTCTTCAAAGCTACTATCTTCCTAAGCAAACTTGTAGCTGACAAGTCTGACATCTGAAATTAATTTTTCAGTATGGTCTCTTTACCATCAACATGTTTCCACAGCTCTGAGGGAACCTTAATGCAGAGCTCTCCGTTTCCAGCGTCCGGGTCCACAGCACTGACAGCGGCAGCATAGGCATTGGAGAAATAGTTGAGATTCCTCCTGTCAGAAATAGCCAGTTAATTCTTAAAGTACTCTTGTGGTGAACCACAAAAAACAGCTGTGGATGTTAAGACTGTGTTTCTATGCACTGAATTTCAAGGTGCATGGACAACCAAGTGTTTTGTTTTTAAAGGAGTGGAAGAGAAAAGGAGTAAAGATTAGATTTCAACAACCAGAACTTAAAATATGGCTCTTGCAGAAGTGATCTGTGATCAAAAAGACTTAAACATTAATATCTCCCAATAAATTGAGAAATGTTCAGTGTAATAAGAGTAATAACTACATTTATTGGAATGGAAATTAAAAATTCTGGGTTTTATTTTGGATGAAGTTTGTATCTTTATTCTAAAGCTCTGTCTTGAAGATCTGCATCCTCATATATTGCAGTCTTGCTCTTATTTTGCTTTTCTAAATGTAAGATTTTAGCTTGGCAATGGTATTTTTCCCCTTTAACTTGATGGACAGAAATAGGGGTTTTTTGATGCACTTGTAAATAACATATAAAACATGTTAAGAGTTCTGGCCTTAATACACAAACACAGAAATATGTGCTATACTTTTTAGTTTCAAAACATTCTTCTTTTTTAAAGTGTACCATTATTTATTTAAGATGCAAACACAGTTTTTGTAATCAGGTTTGAGCAACTATGTATCAGTGTGGATTCCTTTGAACCCCTCAGGAAAATCCCCAGGGCCTTGCCTTGGAAGAGTATACCACAGAGCCTCCACCTAGGCTGAAAGAGAAAACTTCCCTATGGAGCCTCCCAGCACTGATCCACCCCAGTTTTCATTCCCCATGTGTTCCCAATGTTTGTGGTTTCTCCTTTCCCTGTTTCCTCCTTGGTTGTGGTATCCCTGGTGGCCAGCACCATTTTCCCTGTAGGGCAATACCCTTTGTCCTGCCCTCTGTACCACCCCTGAGCCCTCAGACCATTGGCTACTGATCCCTAATTAACCTTGTGCACACCATGTGGCTTGGTTTTCTGTCCCTGATTTCCCCTTTGTTGTGCTGGAATAAGCTTTGGCTGGAATTTAGCATACAAAAGGCCCTTCTGCCTCTCTTTGCTGAGCTAGCTGTGGTGAGTGGTGCGTGTGGACTTGACTGCTTTGCCTGAATGCTCACCCAAGCTGCTTTTCCACAGGAGATGCTCATTGGGAAACAGGTAGCAGCATCCATCATCTAAACTCCACACTGCTACAAATCAGCTGCTCATTAACTGCTCACTTCATTACTTCAGATCATTACTTCAGTTATGACTTAGATTAATTGTTTTCCACTGAAATGAGCAGGAACAAGCATATGTCTTCTGTTAAATACTTATGAGCAGGATGTTACCTTATTACTTAATGTGATTATATTTAACTACTGGAGTATGACCAGTCAAGTTCAAAAATAACCCTGCTTTTATAGCTGAATGTAATAGCTTTTATACTTTTTCAAAATGGATTTCTAAACTGTTTAAAGCATGGGAGCAAAATCTTTCTTAATTCTAATTCTCCAGTACACGCAGTTTTCCAAAAGCTTACACAACTCTACACCTGAAGAGAAAGTGTTTGACTAACTTATCACCTTTTCCACAGAATTTAGGTATTGCTGATGAATCCAAGCGCAAGCAGGACACAATCAAGCAAAAAGCAGTCATGGAATCACAGAGCCACAGAACACTCTGGGTTGGAAGGGACCTCTCAAGGTATCTAGTCCAAGTTTCCTGGCGGAAGACAGGGACATCTTCCACTAGATGAGGTGGCTCAGAGTCCTGTCCAACCAGACTTCCAATGTTTCCAGGAATGGGGCATCTACCACCTACCTGGGAACCCAGTTCCAAGGTTTCACTGCCCTCACAGTAAGAGTTCTTCCTTGCACCTGGTCCAAACCTACCTTCTTTTAGTTTAAAACCATTACCCTTTGTCCTATTGTAACAAGCCCTACTAAAAAGTTTGCCCCATCCTTTTTATAAAGCCCCCTCTAAGTATTGAAAGGCTGCAGTAAGATCTCTCTAGAGCTGTTATCTTCTCCAGGCTGAACAACCCCAACTCTCTCAGCCTCTCAGCACACAGACAGGTGCTCCATCCCTCTTACCATCCTGGTGAGCTCCTCTGGATCTGCCCCAACAGCTCCATGATCTTCTGTGCTGAGGGCCTCAGAGCTGGACACAGCCCTGCACGTGGGATCTTACCAGAGCAGAGCAGAGGAGCAGAATCCCCTCCCTCACTCTGCTGCCTACACTGCTGGTGATACAGCCCAGGACACCCCTGGCTTTTTGGGGTGCAAATGAACACTGCCAGCTCATGCTGAGCCTCTCATCCATCAGCACTCTGAAGTCTTTCTCTGCAGGGCTGCCTGCAATCCCTTCATCCCCCAGCCTGTACTGATACTGGCCGTTGTCCTGACCCAGGTGCAGGATTAGAGCACTACAATGGAGTAAATTAACTTTTGGCTGGGGACTCCACCTTCCATGGAATCTGAAGTCTACACAAAGCAGACATGATCTCATTTCAGGATTCTGCTCTCATCTAGCCATTCTCCATTCACCATTCACGGAGAAAACAACCCATATTACAGTACCTAACTTGGAGAAGAAAGTGCAATTAACCATGCCACCAGCAGCATTCTGTAAGTCTAGGTATGTCAAACACCCTGCTTAATATTCCGAGTCACGTGCAACTATAAAAAATTTTGCTAAAACTCTAAAGTATATTGAGAACATATTTTCATGTAGTTCTTCATCTTTGGCAATAATAGTGCACAAATTCCCTGGCACCACTACCATGGCCGAGAATGTCAGGAGCAGTAAACTTTTCTACTTTGCTTGAAAGCTTCTGAATAGCAAATGGGAACATTTCAGTAGAGAAACTCACAAACCTCAAGTTTGAATATATTTTTCTTTTCCTTTTTCACACTTAACTATACCTAAAGGTAGGATATAATGCCAACAAGTTTTAAAAGGAAAAGGTTCAGTTTGTACCCTGGAATACAGTATAAGTTCAGGTATGGCTCCAGAACAATTCCAGCCCACTTAAACTCCAGCTGATGTGCTGTCTCCCAGCCTCACTCACGCATCACTACTACCTCACTCACTAAGGAGAATGTTCATCTGATCCTACAGGGATGCAGCTGAAAGTGTCAAATGGGAAAGTAAGTCCTTTTTTTCTAATCAGGCAGCTTTTAGTTGATCTGTCATACTGAGGGGTCAAAGAACCTCCCTGAGCAAAGTTGCTTTAAGCTGTCCTTCAAATGGCACCCTATACCTTATATAAAGGCAAACAAATACCACTGGGAAAACTCAATTTAAAAAGAGTCTGCATGACTAAGAACTATTAGTAATCAAAAAAAAAGCTAGCAACAGAAAACCACAGTAACATTCTGTTGGACTGTTAAATTTTACTCTAAACTGTTTCTGAAAATTGACTATTATTGATAGGGATCCCTTTCCTACACAGTGAGAATTTGTTCAAACTTTGAGAATTGTCATGAGCTTGTGGCTACACTTCAAACGTCACTGTGTTCACAGACAGGAAAAGGTTATGATTTTACAGCAAAGTAGGAAGACTCCAGAGCTTAACATTTTATGGAAAACAAATCTATTCTTATATTTCTATTTTTTCGAAGTGTTCTAGTTCAAATGGGTGATTCATTGTAAAAGAAATCCATTAAAGGCACAGTACCACAGATTAATATTTTCATAGATTGAACTATTCTCAATAAACAGCATATGGCCATTTTAAGAAAAACAGAGTACATGCCAAAAGTTACAGTTCAAGGAACAATGATAAATTTTCCTAATGCTAAGTGTAGATTGACAGTGAAAAAACAAATATGTATTCATGGTCTTTTCCCAGCAGAGATACATTCTGTTATCAGCATTCACCCCAAACACTGTTAATTACAGCCTAAGTGCATGCAGCTTGAGTGACTGTAAAGAAGCAATGCTACAGAGATTTATTTTTAAAATTACTAATTGATTTCAAACTTTCCATAGCATTTGATATTAGTAGCTCCACCAGTGCTACAAATGTATGTGCCAAACATATAGTCCATAAACTACTGTTTTCCTACAGTACTTAACATCAACTTGGCCAAGTAAGTTATTTGCTCTGCCTATAAAGCATTACTCTTCATAACCAGTAATTCAATTACTATTTTACTTTGCTTCCCATATAGAATAAGCACTTGATATTGGAGTACATACATGATATACCATGTAAAAGATATAATACATGCACAGATAAGTGATCTATTAATAGGGCAATGATTTGAACCTTTGCTGAAAAACATGATTTTCATTCCTGGTCATGTTTAAGGGCTTTGTCATCTCTTTTCAAAAGTGCTCTGCACCTTTGTGTCGTGGTCTAGGAATTGTCCCATTTAGTGTTTCCATTGAAACTACGTAAAACCACGTGCCACTCTATCTCTCCACCCTCCACCCTCTCCAGCCCTGTGGTGGGCTGCAAAACAGAACTGGAGCCACAAAAGGTAAAGTTTATGGATTGAGATAAGAACAATTTACCAGAGACAGCAGTGAAATAAGACAACAAACAGGAACAGTAACAATACCAATGACAATATGTATGAGAAAAGAGGTGAATGTTTCACATGGCATTGCTCACCCCAGGTAACTCATGAAAACACCTGACCCCCTGCCATGCTATGGGATCTGGAAGCGAGCCTTTTTCCCATCCCTGGAAAATAAGGCAAGGTGGTAGAGAATAATCTCCAGATCTTAGCCTTTCCCTGCTCCTGACTGCTGCAAAAATGAATTATGTCCTGGCCACGACACTTTCTTCATTTCTAACAAAGTCTATAATGAATTTTCAATTAGACAAGCATTATATCAGTGTAAATAAAGGCTATTTATTGCAGCAAGGCAACACATGCTCAGTCCACCAGAAATTTTTCTATTTTGTACAAAGTCTAGAGGCTTGATCATTGACTTCCCAGAAGAAAAAATACTGCAAGACAGACGTGCCCTTAAGGCTACCACATTGCTCCCTCTCACAGCTTACTGCTGCTTGTAACTAAAGCAACAGTGAAGTCAGAGGATATCAGAACATCTTCCTATTTGTAATGTTTAAATACTACAGGCTTCAAGCTGAAAAAAAAGACAAATGAACCAGCAATACATAGGAAAGCCTTATGTGCACATTAGCTAGCTATACAAAAACATAGCTTCCTTTACACAACCATAACAGTAAAATGCAACAGCTTCTCAGCCTGGCATCCTAATTATCTCATAAAGGTGAAGCACATAAGCAGGCACAACAGGATCCTCAAAACTTCACTTATCACAGATCAAACCACTGCACCCAAACTTTTGCTGCACCTATTTAACAGTTTACAATCTCAACCATAAGATTAAGGATAAAATATATCTCCCTTGCCAGTTTTAAATAAATAGGGCTGAGATACAAGCAGTTGTCTCAGTATTCAGAATATGTACTGGGATTTCTACATAGAATGTAGAAGCACAGCCCAGAAAAAGCAAGCTCATTTCTCTTATACTGACGGAATCAAAACACAACAATTTACAAGAAAAAGAAAGATGAGGAGGATAGGCAACTGTAACATTCAAAAACAGCAGCCCCAAAACATGACCCAAACAGACAATCTCCAACACTACATGCAGTCTCCAGAAGATTTGAAACTCTTCTCAAAAGCACAAGTAAAATCGGATTCTCTGCCATCTTGTGTACACACAGTAAAGCACTGTGGATTATTTCATACCTTACACCCTGTTCAGGTGTTTGCTCAGTCAGGAAGGAAGGGACTGCATTATCTAAGTTCATCCACCTATTCTGATATGAAAATGGCATCAAAGCTAAAAATATATTTAATGTGCTAAGTAATGGCTTCTAACCTTTCCTACAAATTTCACAAAATTTTAATTACTTTTTTAGTAAGAGTTTTTCTAATATTCAGGAGAACTGAAAAAATACATGACTAAAAAAGTTGTTTCACCTTCTTCAACACTGAAAATGTGAAATGACAGAGACCACGTCAATGATTTTTTTCCTCAAATATGCTAAAACCCAATAGTACTGTTTCAACTGAAAACAAGTTGAATATTTCAATTCAGAATACAAAGAGGTGATCTCACATACCTCACCAAGAAGTAGCAAAGAACATCATAGTGAAGCCAGAATTCTGAAGACAGAATTGTGTCATACATAAAGCTGAATTTCTCAATCCTCTTTTAACTATTTTCTTGCATGCCAAAATTTGCACAACATAACAGTGAACCATTTCTCTTAACCTTCTATCAGCAAACACAACCTTTCAAGTCAGAGACACTGTAGCAGGTTTTTTAATCTTTACTCCCTACAGAGTTTTCAATTTTAAGTAGAATTCTGTTTCTAACTAAGGGAGTAAGAAGTCTTACTCACTTTACTTTGATAAAATGGTAGGGAAGTGTCCATTAAATTAACAAATTTTCCAAATACTTATGCCCCAGATAAGCTACTTGGAAAAAAATTCTTCACAGACAAGACTGTAAAGGTTGGAACAGACCACCCAGGGAAGTGATGGAGTCACCATTCCTGAAAGTGTTCAAAAAACTTGTGGACATGGCCCCTGAAGACATGATTTACTGGTCATGGTGGTGCTGAGTTGATAATTGACATGATCTTATGGGTCTTTTCCAATTTCAATGCTTCCATGATTTTAAGTCTTTTAGAAAACAATATCTAAGAAACTAAAAGCATTATCAAAACAAAAGAAAATGTTTCTACATATAATCTTGTATGTATAACCCAAACTTATACTTTTTACACATCACAGGGAAAACTAAAGATTGAAAACAAAATATTTAAAATAAACAGGTTACCAAGAACCATCTTAATTTCCCATTTACTACTTCAACAGACTACTTAAGAAAAGTGCAAAAGGTAATGATCCCTGTAAGACCAGAAACAAACCATCCTGTCTAATCTGTGCCCTGCTCAAAATAATTGCTGCAGCTAGTTCAGCTTCAGGGCACAAAAGGACACCATCACTAAACTTGCCATAACAAAGAATGGAAGAGATGACCAGATCATTAGATATAAAGACTACTGTTTTAGTAGTATGATTAGATATAAAGACTGAAGACTACGGCCACAAACCACTGTTTCTAGAAGCAGTTCTATGTAAAGAAGGGCAGAGAAAACACACTGATGATTTTCTTGAGGAACTAATTCTAGAGTTTTTAGATTTCTAGTAATTCTGCTTGCAATCCTGCCTAAAGAGCAGAGATGCTGTATTTAATTACCTAACTGTGACCAGGTATTTCAATGGAAAAATACAACTAACTTCATCTAACATTTTGAAACTCACATTGCCTTTAACTTCTGAGACACAGAAAGAGGCATGCTAGTTTTTTGTTATGAATATTTAGTGACCTCTGCCTTTCATAACTATGAATAACATAAGAGTTATAAGATACAGAAATTTTCCATTAAGTTTGAATAGCTTGAACAAAAAACTCACCTTCTCCACAAAATGACAGAATTCTCTCTCCTAATCCCTTTTTTAACATAATGGGAGTGCTCACTCTTATAATTTAAAATGCTGCTCCTTTTTCACATCTTCCAAGAATTACACAGGATTCCAGTTATTACAGAATCACAGAATGGCTGAAGTTGGAAGCAATTTCTGAAGGTCCTCTAGTCCAACCCCTCAGCTCCAACAGGGTCACCTACAACCAGGTGCTCAGGAGCACATCCAGATGACTTGAATATTTCCAAGGATAGAGACTCCACAATCTCTCTGAATAAATTGTCCCAGTGTTCAGTCACCCTCACAGTAAAAACTGTTTCTTGATGTTCAGAGGGAACCTCCTATGTCTCTGTTCATGCCCACTGTGTCCGCTCTTGTCAGTGGATGTAAGCTAAAATACATGAAATTCTATCAGAATATGAGGAAATGCTTTTTACTGAGAAGGTCATCAACACTGGACAAAGTTGCCTGGAGAACTGCAGAGATTCCATCCCCAAAGATACTCAAAACCCAAATGGACACAGCCCTGCGCAACCTACTCTACCTGACCCCATACGAAGGGACCTGCACTGGATTATTTCAGTCAGTCTTTTGCAGCCTAAAGGACTGATTTTTTTATCAGCTGCTGTTAAACAACACTTTCACTAGAAGTTTTTCAACAATTCAGCAAATTGTAAATTCAACCAAGCCAGCCAAAAGAAGGTGTGAGAATATGAATGTTCCAGCAAATCAAAAGAGATTATCTAGGGAAAACATTTGCCCATCATGTTCTCACCAAAAATGAAATGGCTACAAGATCTTTTGCTAAAGCCCCTTCCCATATCAGTTCCCTAGAACATACAGAATGCCACATGATTTTGAACATACTCTTCAATATGAGATGTTGAAGAAATTTGAAACTTTTCCTTTCAAATTTTGAAGTGAGTTCAGATTCTAGGACTTACACTGTTATCTACAAGAATAAATAATGAAAGTTTGATTCCTTAGGAAAGGCCAAAAGCTTTACTTTCTAGCACTTCACAACAGTCTGGAATTCCTACAATAAAGGGATTTTTGACATGATGAGCAATAGTGTCAACAACAAAAACATCAAGTCACAAAGCAAACAGAATTACAGAATTAATATACCCAAGTGGTTCAGTATCAAGACTCAAAGAAAATTTCATAACTCTGATAATAAATTCAGTGTCCTATATAAATGAACATTGTATTTGCAAACCGAATTATTGAAGCTCTTGCATAATTGATGAAAAAAAGGAATACACAGTGTCTGTCTCGAGCACACAGATCAAATCCAAGGCCTCTTTCCCCCATGAAGTACTTTATAGAAAATTTTTTGATACTTTCACAAAACAATACAAAGATAAATGAGCACAAGCAACTCTAAAGAAGACTAGTGTAAGAGTCAAAATTATTGCCAAAATACTTCCCCAAAATTAGATCAGACCAAAAGTTACCATTAGGAAATGACCAGGTAAAACTTGACTGTAAAAGAGAACAGGTTATACTTAAGAGCAACAGAAAACACTCCATCTGCAGAGTCTTAAACACACCACTTACTGCTTTGACTCATGGTGACAGACCTCCAGTGTGGGATCATTATAGATGAAAGCTGCTTCTAAATCATTGACTCTCACTCTGTAAATGCGGCACTGTTTACTGTTCAGCTTGATTCTGTTCAGGTTTGCCACTGTGGGAAATATTGTGAGTTCCACATAACCCTATGAAAACACAAATCAAAATCTTCTGTAAAATCTTTAACAACTTAAAAACTAGAGAGATATAAAAATAATTATTATTAATACAATTTTAAAAAATGACTGGTATAAAGATGATATTTTCATATTTGAAAAGGAAAATGAATTGCCCTTTAGATTTTCTGCATTTTCTTTCATGCCATTTAACAGGTGAATTTTCGCAGCTGTAAATGAAACAGACACAACAAAACGTCCAATGTGACTGACAATCATGCCTGTTTTACTGGAAAAAAATCTGCCTCTATTGACTAGATTTCAAGTTTTTAGCATCATTATGTTTTGGTACTTGAATTTGAGACAAGAATTCTTAAAACCTTAGCAGAATCCTTTTAAACAGATATGTAAATTGACAAAGACCCCTGAAGACTTTAGGCCTGAAATGATGAAAGTCTCTTCAAAGCCCAAGTGAACTCACATACAAGGTAGGAAACTCTGTTAGTCTATCCCAAACATCAGTTAACACAGTGTGAGCATGAATTCTGAACTGCAAATTGCTCTGTAATATTTACAGTGCAGCAGCTTTCATTTAGAAATCTTTTTCTAGAAGTGCATACAGTTAGAAAGAACTTTGTCAAGCAATGACAGACTTATGAAAAGCATCAGATTAGAAAGTATAACATATAAAGTAGATGAACAGCATAAATAGCTTGTGAGTGCAGTTATTTCCTCTAAAAGTATGAAGAAAATCCAGACACTTAATTTCTACTTCACACTTTATTAAGAAATACTTACTACAACAGACTTTCTCTGAAAATTTATGTTGTTGATACAAACTACCTGATGAGTTGTGCTGGAAGAAAAAAAAACAAAAAAAACAAAGTAAGGTTTTGCACAAATGCCAGCATTTAAAATAATACTTTAACCCAGTTTAACAGAGAGCCACAGAGGATATATGTACATAAATACAGCCAATAGAAAATACTTCTATAAAAATCATTAATGATTGTCCCAATCTTTTATGCAGTCTAAACCAAATAATGAATAGAAGTTATCCACTATGTCAGGAAAGTCCCCCCCCAAAAAAACCACAGTATCATACCAGCATGAACACTACCAGTAATATAGGAAGATAACATAATTTTCGAACAACACCTATTTGAATGTAAAAATAAACAATTACAAAAGGCAGTGTTCAGGTCTAACACTGTAGTGATGAGCAGTATCAGTAATGGCATGAGCTATAAGACTTGCAATCAGAAACCTGTGGAAAGCTGACACTCATACATCATTTATATAAGCAGGTATTACACATGAAAAGATACAGTATGTGGTTTTACAATTAGCATGCCATAAAAGTTTATAATTTAAAATAATGCTAATACATGAATCAAGATAGGTATTTTATACTAGTCAAATGCATTTGCTTAAATTCTGAGTGACATATTAGAACTCCTGGCAAACAAAACTTTTTAAAAGGTAGGAGATAATATAATGCCAACTTTTTAAAAATCCTGTAAGTTATTTCTATGCAATTTTCTGTAGTGGGTGTCATCTTTACAGTAGTGCATTTCATGACTCAAGACAAAACCTTGAAGTAATTCAACTTCTGTTGCACATCATGCTTTATCTGCACATATCCTGTGCATTAACAACTGACATTGCTTCAGGTGAGAAAAAAAAATTCTTGTAAGAGAATTACATCTAAAAACAGATTCAGACGTTACTTACATTAAGGGTGTATGAGAAGACTGATTCTACTTACCAATACATTTGTGTAACAGATTTATAAAGGAATCAAAGAGGTATAACAAGAAATCTATTAAAATGTACTGAAATCCACCACCAACTGCTTTGTAGCTTGGTTACAAGCCAAATAGTGAATGTGTGAAAACGACAATTTGCTTAACAAAGCGGCTTGCTGCAAAGGCAAACTTTTTTTTACACATAAAAAGCCCTTAAGTCAAAAGGGCTTTTTGACACACCAGTACATATGGAACATCGTAGTGTGGTCTTTAGTACTGACACTGTGTAAAGAGATGTCCTAAGTTTGAAGAGCATAATGTAAATACCTTTATGAGACTGCATGTTTGACAGACTTGCTGCCCATGAGTAAGTCCATTTACACACTCAAACATTTATCTGCAACACACCTTTTCTGAATGCAAGCTACACCACAAGCAACAGCTCCTTCTTAAATAAATCATTACTAATCAGCCTTTGGCCTGGTTCAGTGTGCATTGCTTTCAAGTACAACAATTTAAAAAAATGGATACTTATAATTTATAGGGTCTTGGGCTTTCAAATCCTTTGTCTCCTTTCTTCCTATTCATCCTGAACCGCAGCACTAAACACACTCCGCTGACCGTCAGACTGGCACCAACATCATCCTCACTCAGCGGGTCCTTCGATTTTCCCCCGTGTCACGCCGGATTTGATCTCTCATCTCCTCAGCGACGTGTGACCCCCAGCAGTCAGGAATCCTCAGCTCCAATGAGCGCCATAGCCACAGCACCGCCACCAAGCAGTGTTTGTGCAAAACCTCCCGTGGGTGCACACGCAGCCCCTCGGTCTGCTGGGCTTACGGAACCAGTCCAGAGGCGCTTCCTGTCCACGGGAACTACGGAAAACAACCGGCTCAGCGGGCAGGGGCGGCGGGAGCGACGGAATCAGGAGGGCCGCGGCCAGGATGGCCGGGCAGGCACCGGGGTCCGCGCTCCCGGGAGCGCCGGCTGGGGCAGCGCCGTCCGCTGAGAGCCGGGAAAGGCCTAGCAGAGGGTGGAGCGGGCCGGGCGGTGGCCGGGCCCGGGGCAGGGTCAGCCCCGCGGGTCTCCCTCAGCAGCGCGCCCGCCGCGGATCTTCCGCAGCCGCCGCCATCTTGGCAGTCACCTCCGACCCGCGGGTGAGAGGTCACGGCCCGATTGACTGAGCTCTGTCACTTCAGCGGGAAAGGCTGGTGGAGTTTTCCTTTTTACAGAAAGGCAGCTGCTTTTTACAGCGGCGGCGGCGGCCGGAGAGAAGAAGAAGAAAAAAAAGAAAGAATAAAATAACCCTCCCGAACCACCCAAAAGCCGAGAGAGGGGCCGCGCCGTGTCCCCGTGCGCAGGCGCCGCAGCTCGCGCAGGCGCGGGCGGGCGGAAGGCGGGAAGGGGCGGCGGGAGAGGCGCGCGCCCGTAGCGAGCTCCGCCTGCCGCCTCACGGGGGGCGCCGCTGGTGGGAGCAGGAGGACGCGAGATACAGTTCCTTTATAACAAGGTTGTTATAAGTAACTTCAGATTAATCTATTTTAGGTTAAAATAAATGCTCGCATCGAAGAAACTGGTGGGAGTTTGAAAGGGTCATTTCATTTTCAATGTGTAACAAAACCAAGCAGGAGCACTGCACACATGGAATGATAACACACACAAAATTAATGTAAACAAACTCTTCTCATAGCCGTAATAAAGTTCTATTCATTAAATACTTAATTTCTGATTTGTTTTACAAAGAAACACCTATGTAAATACAAACTTGGAGCACAAATATAGAAGTATAAATTGTGTTGCGTATTTCAACTAAGGGGCCTTCTGTGATGCAAAGGAAGGAATTTCCAAGGCTTTTCCGTTCATATAACCATTGATCTCTGGGAGTGAACCTGCTGCTGCTGTTGGGGGACAGGAGCTGCTGGAACCAGACAGCAAACAAGGCAGTCCTTCCCAGCAGAGAGCCCTTCTACATCACACAGCTGGTCAAACACCACAGCCCTGCACCAACAATGTGCAGCACAGGACACTGACCTTGCAGCACTGGGCAACAATAAACAGAGCTCAGGAAGAAACTTTTATTCAGCTTTTTATCTGTACCATATTCCAAGTATGCACACAGTGTGCATCTTGAGTTACATTTCATTTAGAAGGAGTTTCACTACTCTCCCCACTCACTCTACAGCTGAAATGTTGGCAGTTCCAAGGTATTTCCTACCTCACATCTGAGTCTGATGAAAGAATCCTTTTTGTATCAAATAAGCAACGACTGTTAAGCTTAAAATATAAACCTGAAAACGATCTAATATTAAACTCTGGTTTACTGACATGCAAACAATCCTTTTTAATGATTACAAGATTACCATCTCAGGTATACCATTTCATGGCAGTCTCATCAAAACATTGTTTCATTTACATACAACAGTATTATCATTACAAAACTGTAAGGCACAATTTCTATGTGCTGTCATGTGCCCTAACAAAGTTTTAAAAAAATAATTGTACTACAAAGTTTTGTAGGTTCTTTTTAAAAAAACACAAGTAGTCTTCTGTAAAGCATTAGTTTTACCTCAGCTACATTTTAATGACAGTTTATAGGAAATTTGTAACACAACATCCAACTTCTCTCTCTTATATTCACACTTCACTGCAATTAGGGTTTTTTTGGTAATATACATAAGGCCATTCTGCCATGTATTAAAGTGTCAGGTGCTGATGTTGTTCATAGACATGACCTTAAAAGGAACCACTATTCAAAATCAAGACTGATGTAGTCTCAGCGGGGAATGATTTGTTCATGAGCTTGATGAGTTCTCTGCTATGCAAAATGTGAACACTGCATTGAAACCTTAATCTTCAAGAATGGCCACTAATGGGCAGAAGACTAAAATTTCTATTTTGCTGTTCAATTGAATTGATTGAATTATTATCAAGGAAGTTTTAAATATTTGTTTCAGACTTGTGGATAAAAAGATTACATGTATTCAAGAAGTAGAAGTTGGGCAAAGGAAGGTTGGCAAAGAAGGCTGGCAAAGGAAGGTGAGCTGAATATCATTCCTCAGAGGCCACAAGTGTCCTCACACTCTCCTTAGCTGAGCAGAGAATACAACATATTCAAATAGCCTGTAAGTACACTGTATAATGATGGCCACTCTTTTCCCCAGAAGGCAGCAGCAAATAACATTCACTGTTACTACATTCAGTATCCTCAGTTCTTCAAACAATACTTGTTATGAGATGGGTCTTCTAGAATTATAAACTTTAACACCATTCAGCATTGAAGAGCGAGCATATTTTGTCAGAAGAGCACCAACAGTCTGCTTCTCTGCACACAAGTCTCTACAGAGGAAATAAAGCACAGGACATTGGCATTTAGAGAATTTAGAGATACTATCACACAAAATGAATCTGTAAAACATTTGTAACTACAGCAATAAACTGGATTTGGATGTTAGGAAAAAAAACCAGAACTACTGTAACTGTCACATACTTTAAATTACCTCAAGTTTGGAACTTACCTTGACATTTACACACTAGGTAAAACTACACTACTTCAGAAAAAGAATTTGGGGTATTAGGCAGAGTTTTATTATTACTGTTCTCTAACAGAGTTTTCAATCTAGCTAGCTCTGAACAATTCAGTTATATTACAGTAAATTTAGAGCCACTCATAAAGGGTTGATGCAGTTACCTCTGGGACAGCATCAACATCTTCTCACATATATCACAGCTGGACATTCCAGATAATGTGTAGTGTAAGTCTTAACTACCAAAGGAACAATGGATGCAGTACAGGAAGCACTATTGCTTTATAGTTCTAGTGTTGTAAATATAGAGTAAATGTCAGCAAGTTTAGCCGTTGAATTGTCTGCTTTAATCAAATGAGAGTTATCACCCATTTAAACCCAGTAGGATCAACTTCTTACACACATTTAAGTCCAAAAAAGAGAGTTACAGATCCCAGAGGTGGGTATTCTATTCATAGAGAATCCACTAAACTTAAAATGCAAAGTATAGAGTATCACTGAGGCAGTGATGGCTCATCAGAAGCCAGCTATACAAAAAGAGAAGAATATGGTACTAATTATGTTTTAATAAAAATAAATGCATCCTTACTGTATATAAGGGGTAATATCCACTTCTGTCCACTTTTCCCGTATGCCAAATAAGCTGTTGAATCTTTCCTGATTGTCTTCAGGTAAGTCTTCCACTTTCAGCAGAAAGATGGTCTCTGGTCTTAAACTTCTATCCACAAGAGCCAAGCCCTGCAGAACAGCATCAGAAATGAAATAAAAAGTACTGACAGAACAATTAAACTTCCTTCTTTCTGACAACATCCCATGCAAGTTTCTCTTTGCAGATCCAAAGCCTTCCAGAACTGCACTACCAGAGGCAAAGTGAAGAAGTATCATAAAGGCACTGTTTCACAGGCAGTATTTATAATTTCTTCTATGATAAGAAGGAAAGGAGAATCCATTGGGTTCCAACATCTCTCTGCCTGCTTTAAGCAAAAGGATTCCAGTAGTGTTTGCTACTCTACTGGCTGTCACTACCATCTATTCAACAACAGCTTCAGCTTCTGTTCCAGTCACATTTACAAGTAGTAAATTATAGCTGCAACCTTTCTTCAAACAGTGAAACGTGCCTTAGTTAGAGAAACCTGAATTATGATTCCAGACTACTGGTGCTCATTGAGGATATCATAAAGCATACTTGAACTCAAAAGCTAACAGAAACAACACAATACCCAATAATGGCTAAAATCTATATATGACACAAGTCAGTTACAGCCCATTCACAAAATAATCCATCCTTCTTTAAGTGTTTACCTGAAGCTGATCAAGCCTTGTTGTCATCCCCTCAGGGACACTCTGTTGCCAGACTTCTTCAAACTCTGATAGATTGAATTTAACTGCATTTTGCAAAAGCATTTGTGCTATAGCTCTGCATATTTTATCTTCATGCATTTCAAAGAAAACCTCCCCTGCAGAGAAGCAAAAACTAGGTTATCTTAGGTTCTTGCCTTTTGATAAAAGAACAGCCTTGTATTTCCATTCTGTTCTACAGTCTTCTATACACCAAGCATCCTTTTTTCTTTCCTTGGGAAGCAATTTGACTTGGTATTAATTTGGATAAATTACGGTATCTTCTCATTCTCAGGAACAAATCAGGCAGAATACAGCATTACTGTCCCAACTACAGTATTAATTTGTATCAATAAATGTGTTTGCCCTCCATGTTTTCCCCTTTCAGTGTACTGTTCCTCCTCCTATTTCTGAATGGCTTGTAAACAAAACTTTCACTTCTTTAATCACCCTTATGAGATCATGAAGAGATGAGATTTCATTTTCTCTCACACTGACTTGGCTAAAATTTCTGACCCAAATCAGGTATAAACACTTCCTTCTATTGTTTCAGCCACCTCTGTAATTCAGACTTGTTCCTTGTGCAAACTGCCTAAATACACCAAGACAAGAGTCTGTTGTCACTCCAATGACTTCCTTATGTTCTTTAAGGTTAAGTGCAACTCCTGCTTCACCCAAAGGTGAGCTGAAAGCCACTGTGGGGAAGAATTCAGACTGAATTACAGCAGTGCAGTATTGTATTTATGTATGAGATGGACAATGCAAATCTAATCCCTACAACCAGCAGATCTTGTGGTGCAGTTCAAGAGATCACAGGCAGATACCTACTCCAGGCAAGCTGAATTCATGCCATTGACTACTCATAATAGCACAATTAATTACTTAAATATCTGAGATCTTCTAGGGTATCTAAAGAGAGATGTCAACTAAATTTTACTAGTGAGCTCTCTTTAGTCACGAAATTATGGCTTGTACACACCTAATAAATCAGTTCCAGTACCTCTGTTTACAATTGGCTTGTACAGTTTAATAGCCTTTTTTACCTGTGAAACTTCCTTTAACAATTGTACTGATTTTTAGCCAGTTTGCTCCCTCCTCCCTCCCTCCCTTGCACTGCAGCAGAGTCATTTGTTTGTTCTTCAAAACCCTACATTTCCTCACTAAGAACTATTTCTTTTATGCAAAGTTAAACCATGTTATCTTTCCCAAACTTACCGTCATCAACATATTTCCTGCCATAGCTTAAAAGAATGTGTTCTATCATCTCTCTGGAAAAAAAAAAAAAATCAGAAAACATGTTCTAATACTAGTGTTTACTAGGACACTACCAAAACAGTTACCAAGAAGATTAAGAAACAGGTATGGAGAAGAAAATAAACTGAAGAGAACAGATGATGAGACACATTTTTGTGGGTGAAATGAAGAAACTGGTAAAAAATCGAAGAGAGAAGGATCTCCCCCCAAAAGTCTCTTCCATGTTCTAGTTATAACTAGCAAAGACTAAAATGTGTAAGGGAAATAAGGAATAGACTCTTGCAATATCTTTTTTTTTTCAAGGAGAAAGAATTCTATCAGCAAGTGTGGCCAGCAGGACCAGGGCAGGGATTGTTCCCCTCAGCAGTGGTGAGGCTGCACCTCAAACCCTGTGTCCAGTTCTGGGTCCCTCAGACCAGAACTGGAGAACATTGAGGGGCTGGAGTGTGTCCAGAGAAGGGCAACAGAGCTGGGGAAGGGTCTGGAGCACAACTCAGGTGAGGAGCAGCTGAGGGAGCTGGGGGTGTTTGGCCTGGAGAAAAGGAGGCCCAGAGGAGACCTTGTCACTCCCTACAACTCCCTCAAAGGAGGCTGTAGCCAGTGGGGGTCGGTCTCTTCCCCCCCCAGGCAACAAGTGACAGGAAGAAATGGCCTGACATATTTAGATTGGATATAAGAAAGATTGCTTCATGGAAAGCATTCTCAAGCACTGGAACAGGCTGCCCAGGGAAGTGGTGGAGTCACCATCCCTGGAGGTGTTTAAAAGACACATAGATGTGGCACTTAGGGACATGGTTCAGTCCTGGACTTGGCAGTGGTGTGGTAATGGTTGGACTCAATGATCCTAATGCTTTTTACCAGTCTGAATTATCCTATGATGCAAGTCAAAAATTTGGCAATTATCCCTTACTGAATAATAGGCACTTTTCTGAAGATCTGTCATAAATTATAGCCTAACTGCAGATATCTTTTTGTGCCAAAAGGCAATTAAATGGAAAATGCTACATATTGTAAACTTAAGACTTTCTTTGAATGGTACTTTTGAATTACACCAGAAAACATACTCCCCCTCTCAGCTAGTATGCAACAGGTAAACCAAACATTTTTGGCTAGCTATAGCATCAGAACAGCTATTTCAAGATGCTCAGCAATTTACAACTTAAGTACGTGCTCCTTCCAGCATTTACAACTCAGCAGTAAGGTTTCTACTGAGGATCAATGAAAATATTAACAATAAACACTAAAATCAGTTTACTAACCTGTCTAAAAATTCTCTTGAGTATTTTTAGAAACAAAATATCCAAAATATCCAAAAGAATATCCAATATACAAAAGAAAATGTATCATTTATATCACAGTAACTAGAATCCAGATTTGCAAGACTATAATTCTAATAGGCAGTTAACAAGTACTGTAATTACACATAGTTAATAATGAATGTAGGCCATTTTAAGTTCTAAAAATAATTGTTTACCTGGGTTCTAGAGATCCAAGTTCTTCAAGGCAGGCACAGAGAGGAACCTTACTCAAAGGCCAGGACTCTGAATCTATTAGCTGAGTCACATGATTCAAGAGTTTCATCTCATAGTCAAAGTCTAGAATTCTCCAATATCCTGCCAAACAGAGCACCACAAAACACTGTTAGAAGGAAAATATTAACACCTTAATTCTATTGTCATTAAGATACATTACTGGAGTCTGGACATCCAGGTCACACCTTCATAATATGCAGTACCATTGTGTTCTTGAACTAAATAATAAGAGCATATGTAAAGGAGAATGAAACTTAATTATCTCAACTGTTTGGAATTTTCAGTACTTCTTTAACCGCCACAGATACAAAGACACTGAAAATATCACTCCAAGATGTGGAAGAACTAATGCTTAGTTGAGGAACGGAACTGCATGAACAGGATGGGCTGCATTGGCTCTGCAAAGCAACAGCTCAGGTCCAGAGAAGTTCACAAAAATCCAGAAATCCAGATGACTCTAGGACGGCCATCAACTTGTGTGCTACTGAATGTTTGGGCATGGCCAAGTAAAGGATGAATAGGACCTGTCCCAAGGTGAGGCATTGCTCCAGCCTTTACTCACATGGTAGGAAGACACTGAGATAAACCAAGTCCAGGAGGAAGAAAGGACTATGAAAAGGATGGGGCTCCCTAAGAATCAGCTATTTTTGCCTCTAGAACTACAGAAAGCAGCACCCACTCAGTCATGAAGAGGATGACCAGCTAAAAAATATTCATGCTGTGGGTGGGATACTCTGATGCCAGTGTCTGTAGCAGCAAAGGAGTTATCCTGAAAGAGAGAGACTGGCAGTGCCTGCTCAGCTTCATCCTTCTGAGCAGATTCACAGCAGCAGAGGACATGGATCTATGGGAACAAGTCTTAGAACTTTAAAGTAACTTGCACCTTGAAAGACAAGGATATAGAATAGGCCTTAAAAAAGGGAAACATGTATTTTGGGGAAAATAGGAGGGTTATTTCCTCATAGGTAAGAATATTCTTTAGACACAAATACCTTCGATTTTGCAGGCATCTATGACCCGCAATTGGTGGAGTATTTCTTCCTCACTTGCTTGAATCAGATTTAACAAATCTTCTGTTGTATACTGCAACAAGGGAAAAATAAAGGAAATATAAGTGGTTTTCTTACTTCTTCTTTGCTTCAGTGACCATACTAAATGCATTATAAGCTATAATGAAGGAAAGACTTAAGACAGATGTTTTTTCCCCCAGACTGAATTTTCTAAGGTTTGCCACATTCTCTGAAACTCTTCTTGTAACTTAAAAGATTTTCTCAAAAGGTTATTCAATATAAAAGGCAGTCTAACTACAGGAAAATGTTTGTACCAGATCTAGGTAATATACCTATATTTCCAGAATGTCAAACTAGCACAAGCAGACCCTGCAAGTGAAGTATCCCAGCAAGAATAAAAAGTGAATGTGTTCTGGCTTTTCTGAAATCACATATTTTAATCTGTGAGATTCAAAGTAAAGGCAAAGCAAAAATCACTTATCACTTTTGGATAGAAGTCAGAACCTGCCCTTAGTACCTCCACTGAGGGAAAGTCTCCTCCACCATCACCTCAACAGTTACATGTTGTGTTTTGGTGTCTCCTAATCAGTTGGCACACACACAGCACAGACTCAGCCAGAACACAAACACCTCCCTGCAGAACAGTTCTGTGGTGAGATGGGAAGGTGCTGTGGTGATGGGTTTATGAAGGTGTGGCTGGATCAGAAGTTATCATGAGGAGTGAAGTAAATGGAAGAAATAGCAGACATCAGTGCACTGGAAATAGGACACCTATTCCTTTATTCACAGTAGAGCCTTTTAAATCAACTGTAATGTTAAAGTTCTGTTGATTATAGCTCAAGAATATTTCCTATCAGAAAGAAAAACATTGGATTAAGTACTGGATTAAGATCTATCAGACTATGAGAACACAAATGGAACAAACCAACACTAAATATGGAACATTCACATGTTAAAAAACCATTTAATAAATACAGAAAGGCCTCCACTTCCTGCTATGCTATTCCTATCAGATGATTGGAACATACTGTTCCTATCACCAGGCCAAGCTTCCATCAGTATGTCAATGAGGGATGACCCTATCATACAATACTTAAAAAAACCACACTGCTAGCAATTGAGAGCAAAAATATCCCCAAATCAGCATGTGTGTTTGAAGTTTATTGTTGCCATTCAGATGCCTTGCACAGAAGTCCTTGGGACACATTTCTGCTTTGAGGCCAGCCCAGCAATCCCAACAGCTTTTTTGAATACATCACTGCTCTCAGCTCTGATGCTTTTATCAGCTGCATTGCCCTTGCAAACATAAAATGGAATGCGCTGACTTGCACCACGTCCACACCAGCAACTTCCAGATAATGTATTTAATATGTTTCTTATTCTTTTTCTTATGAGATGTCTGTGAGCATCTGAGTATGCCCTGTCATTTCACAGTAAAATTCAGTACTAGCCTATATATTTATAAGCTTTCCTCTAGTGTGCTAAATCAAAACACAATGCAACAGGTTCCCTACAGTGCCATAGATCTTTATGGCTCTTCTGCTAGGGTTCTCTGTGTATGATACAGTCCTGAAAATCATGAGACTCAGCTTACAGTAAACAAACAAATGAATAATTTGTTTTCAAACAGATTAAAGGTGGCCAATTAATTCCCAGCACACAATAAATATTAAGTGTAAGCAAACAAAACAGTGGAAATCATTACTACACATACACTGTTTGGGATTTCAGAGAAAATTAGTCCCACAGGAAAGAGTTTTCCCCTGGAGAGCTTTCAGATTGATTGAGGAGTTCCACCAGAGGCAAGGTTAACACTTGTCTGTATTTATCAGATATACCTAGTTGTTGTTACTCAGTAAGCTCATAGAGGAAATGCATTCTCCTTCAAAAATAAATGGTGATCAGTCCTCAAATCAGTCATTAATGTTTGGGAGACACTGACATCTTTTTAATAATACTCAATATTATGAATAAACACTATTTCATATGACTTTTTCATGTTGCTAGCCTTTGACAATGCTTATAATTTTCAGACAATTTAAGCCCTCGAACCTTTGCCAACCCTTATTTTGCTGTATGTCCTGCTATGCCTAGAACAGCACAGGTAGGCAATTCTGGGGGCAAGATTCTGTAACTGATCAGAAATCAGCCTGTTAATCATCCAGGAAGAGAGAGGCATCCTGTTTCTCCAGGGAAAAGTAACATCTGTGTTTGCACATCCGAACACACGCAGATGGTTTGGTGGTGTCAGCTTCAATCATGTCTCAGTATAAAATACTTGGGAACAACTACTTTTTGGTCTTCAAGTCAAAAGGAAAACCAACCAAGCTAACAAAGCCCCAGAATTTCTATCAGCCTTTTAGCTGAGATCATATGCTGCACAGTCCAGGTCTCCTCATTACTCTTTAGGTCCCAAAATGAATTTCCTGGAAACACTGTAAGACAGCAGGACGGGATTTCATTTGTGTTTTTCCTTCTTTTAGTGTGTCTTATTCCATGCCTTAGATAATCCTGTTACCCTCTTCAACTCCCTTCTTCTCCTTGTCATCACCAATTACTGATTAGCAAGCCATCTGCACATGGTGTGCTCTGACCTCATACATGGCAGACACAAAGATGGAAAGGCTGCACTATACCTTAGTAGTCATGTAATTCTCAAGGAATTTAGAAAAGATTCTGAAGGTTGTGCTCCAAGAAACTTCCTACAGGAAAAGGGAAATGCCCAGTCTCCTTCCATGTCCTTCATTTTAACTAATAAAAAGGCTGCTTACCTGTACTCACTGGAAGTGCTATTAACAATCAACTTGTTTATAATAGAAGAGTTAAAAAATTAACTCAAAGAAGCACTGTGAATCACATGAGAAAAGGGATTTTTCTACTTAAGGATGTATCTTCACTTTAATTTGCTCATTACCAATTACAAGAAAGCAATTTACACAGCTGATTTACCTTTGAAAATGTTGAAGTCTGATCTTTCTGACTATCAGGCCCTTCATATGGATCTTCCATTAAAAGCGTCCTCAGTTTCTTCATTTTTGGTCGACATCTCCTTAATTCCCAATAGTTCTTGGAGAAACCAGCAATCTACAAGAGAAAACAGCAACTCTTTAAACATTTTAACGTAGCATCTGGATTCAAAGCTGCTTACCAAAAATTATCAGCAAGCAGTGTTAACCCAGTCATTGAAAACAAGTAACTATTAATAGGGTAATTACTTTAAAGATAAAACAATCATTGCAATGTTTTCAATAAAAAAAATTACTACAGACAATGAAGAATAAAAATCCACAGCTGATTGATAAAATATATCTTTGTAGTGCATAAGACAAAGGTAACAACTCAACTCTGCCTGCAAATGACAGGAAATCACCACAGGATATATTTCTGCACAATTCCCCTCGAAACTGCTTTTTATCTTAACAGTAAATTGTGTTACTGCCATAAAAGCCCTCCTGTATTAACCTGTGTCTATCTTCCCCACTTCTTCCCAAGCTTGGGATCTACTTCATGGTCTTTTTAATGAATCATCATAGTCCTAAACTCAAGCAAAGCAGACAGTAACAAGGACAGAAAGCTACACTTGCACACAACTGACAAGACATCTCTGTTCCTCTCCCTGAGTCAACGCAAAAATGAGGAGTGTGCAACAGGAAGTTTGGCTGTTCTTAATTCAACACCACCGACTTACCAAAGTTTTACTTTCAGAGTAATCCTGAGATGCTTCACAGGGTACAGCTTGGACTTACTGCAAGATTCTTAGAAGAGGCCAGACTATTGGAGGCCTTTCAGCATCATTTCTACTATTTACCAAACCAACAGAAATGGGAACAGAATTGCAGAGGCAGAACAGGCTCCAGCTTAGTGACTCCTGACCCAATCACCAGTCCCATGTTAAAACAGCTTCCATGAAAAAGCCTCTAGACAGTGCTTTAAAATACCCTAAGTGCTTTACTGGCGCACTTGAGGTATTTTAGAAGTCCTCCATTAAAAAAAAAAACCCAAAACAACAACTAAAACTCTAAAATAATTTTCCATTTAAATCAACTATAAGCAAAACCACCTCTATATAGAAGTAATTGTATACAAATTCTACTACACAGAAATCTGTCAATTTTAATCTATTACATAACTGGCTTGGCAAAAAATTCAGCTAAACACCAACTTCCTGACAAACTTCCAAGCTTCATGTCAATTAGCATTTACTTAAGTGCTAGGCTTTTTTCCTGCCAAGTTGTTTTCTGATCATTTTGGTAATAAGAAGATACTCTGCATATAAAAGGAAATAAATAATTCTAATTAATTTTCCAAAGCTCATTACCTGAGATAAGCTCTGTGTGGTGAATAAAATGGCAGATGCTTTGGCTGTATCAGTGTGAAAGTGATACAAAGATCAGCACCAAGACAGCAAGTGAAAGGCAGTGAAGCCCCAAAGTACTGAGTACACACAGTATCTTTTGCTATGTTTCACAATATGCAGTGTTAATGAACCATCTTACCTTTTTGATATAATTTTGAGAGCTCTTAGAAATAAAACTTTTTAAATAGTTCCTAAGCAAATCACATTTCTATGATGTGTAACTTCACAGGAATAGTGAAACTATTAAATGTAGCAAAAAAAAAAAAGTATATGAAAGAATATTACTTTCTCATTAATCTACTTCAGCTTGAATTAACTTTTTACATTAGCTCATTAGACCTCATGGAAGAACTGATGTTGAAGTAGGATTATTCCTCAATGATGCCATTATGTCCATTACAGAAAATAATTGACTAATAATGTTTGCCTAGCTATTTTTAATAGAATTTTATTAACTATGCTTCAGGAGGGCAGAGAACAATGAATTCTTAAACTGAGAACTCTAAAATCATTCACTTTGACAAATATTTTGATATACTAATTGAAAGAGCCACCTTAGAATACATTTCTATATTTAAAAAATAGTATTCAGATACAACATGGTAAAATCTCCCTTTTGGGAAAAGCACTCCTAAAAATCAACCTGTAAATAGCTTACTTTAAAAACAGTTGCTAACACTGAGAAATTATATTTTCTTTGCAAGCTTTTAATACCTACCACAAGTAATTACTATGCAATAAAAATAAAGCACAGTTTTAACTTCTCCGAAATAATAACCATACATTACAGAGAAAGTTCAACTGCCTGAAGAAAGGCTCTAAAGCCATTTTGGACAACCTAAGGCATAGCATGGCCCTGTATAAAAAACACATTTATAAATACATCCTCCTGGAACTGGTCAATACACAAAGAAGCTACAGGAGACTCGTCCTTTCTCCAGTGGCAGCCTGCAATAGTGGCTAAGCAATACCACAGGGTGTCTAAAATGGCATTAGAAGTCTATGTTGAGGCAACTGAATGTCAGCTGGGTTTCACATATGCATCTTGGACAAAATACAAGAAATTACAGAGAATAAGAAAGAACAAAATTAAAGCAAACAAATAAAAACCCTGAAAGACATACCTGTGAATGAATAATATTACAAGATGCCTGATCTGCTTTCAGTTCCTCTGGAGTTTTGCAACCAGGAACAAACAGCAGCATATTTGAGGTATCTGCTATTTTCATGTCATAAGTTTTATCTTTGCTGCACAACACTGCATGTTCATCCTTTTCACCACGGATTATTAGGCTGGAAAAAAGAAACCAACGTGGAAATAATGATACATTTTTACCTCTGTTTCAGGATGAACTCTTAGTAAACTTGTTTGATATTTTCTCACATTCATACATTTGTAAAGAAATTACAAACTGCAGTTCTGTTTGGTAGCAGCAGTCACAGTTCACCAAAAAAATGTAAATTAATCTAATTGACTGTGTTTTTCCCTCTCCTTTTAGTGTGGGAACTCAAAAGACAAGCATTCCAAGTTTTCATGCAGAACACAGTTGAATGCCTATAGTCATACACCAATTCTCTCAATCCCCCTAAAACACTGCTGAAGTGATGCTTAATGTGTGAACTGGTTCACTAATCGTAAAAATTAGATAACAAACTAGAGTTGTTCTTTAATGAGGACTGAAGCTGGCCCACTGTGAAACAAGAAAGCAAACAGAAACTGCGTTTATTGTGCAGAGCCCTTCAGATAATTAATACCTATTTTCTTGCAAGTAATTCCAAGCAGGAAAGAAAATAATCTTCTAGAACAATTCTGGACAAAGAGACAATGTAAAGCACCCTCTTCAGCTCATATGCTTGATGAAGTAAAGATTCTGCATGAGGACTTGATAATACCAAAGCAGGAGCACGACAGGGGAACATTCAGTTCCTCCCAGGCTACGTACACTAAGTTAAGTGCTCAGATTCAATTCAATTAAATGCTTCTCTTGTTTGCCAAAGCCTGCATGCATGAACAAAGCTCAGCTGTGCCCCAAGGGATCAATATGATTCAGGCCTCTAACAGATAATACTTCATCAGTATTGCATGAAATAGGAATGGGCTTACTAACATGCATCTCAGAGAACTACCTTCTTTAGAGGGACTTCTCATTTTGTATCACTTCAAAGATTTTCCTTGTGCCACTGGCATTGCAGTAAAGGAAGAAATTTAAAACAGTATCAAAACCTTGTGTAGAACCTGCTCTTGGTTCAGAGTTTGGTGTCACATAACCATCCTACCCCATGCCCATGCATAGTAGGGCACATCCTTCCCTGCCAATTTGCACGTCCATACTGCACATCCTTCCTGCCAATTTGCATGTCCATACTGCACATCCTTCCTGCCAATTTGCACGTCCATACTGCACATCCTTCCCTGACAATTTTCTAACTTGTAGGCACCCTGCCATCCATCAGGCCTCGAGAGTTCTAATAGGAAAATCTCAAAGCCAGCAGGATTCTTTTAGAGACGTGATATCTTTTCTAAACCTGTATTTCTGATCATAGAATACCCCGAGTTGGATGTGACCCACAAGGATCACTGAGTCCAGCTCCTGGCACAGGACTGCCCAAAGGATCACACCAGGTGCCCGAGAGCGCTGTGCAATTGCTCCTTGAGCTGAGGCAGCCTTGGTGCTCTGACCACTTTTTGGGGAGCCTATTCCAGCATCTTCTGAGTTTTGTTCAGAAGTCTCCACAGCAGAAAACTTTCCACAAAAAAAACTCAAACCAACAAAAAAAACCTAAAACACCATACATACACAGGAAAAAACAACAAAAAACAAACAAACAAAAAAACCCCAAAAAACCAAAACAAAAAAAACCACCCTTCTTATGAGGAAATAGCTTTTCGTTTCCAGTGTAACTGAGACAGGTTTATGGGATTTAAGGGGCAGTTACGCCCACCGCATCAGAAGAATACAGAAGAGCGGACACAGCCCCGTGTCCGGGACAGCCCCGCGCCCGCCGTACCTGCGCCCCGCCTCCAGCTCGGCGCAGAGCCCCGGCTCCAGCTGCAGCAGGCAGCACTCGCCGCCGCCGGCCTGCGGGCCGAAGCTGAGGCAGTGCACGGCCGGCAGCAGCTCCGCCGGGTTCAGCTTGGCCGTCTGCAGCGTGGCGTCCACCTCGGCGCGGCTCCGCATGGCGGCCCCGGCCCGCTCCGAATTCCGCGCCGCGGCCTCCATTCCCCGCCCCGCCGCGGCCTCCATTCCCCGCCCCGCTCCTCCCGCCCAGGCCGGGCCCGGCCAACGGGGAGCGGGCGGCAGCGGCGCGCACAGCCCGCGTTGGTTCCGCGGTTGACGGACGGATGGATGGACGGCGGGGCGGGCGGGAACTGCTCAGGAATCGCTTCCCTCTGCTCCTAATCTGAGACAAACCTCCCGATTTCTGTCAGGCTGCGCAGGAGTTGGGCTGTGCTGCAGTAAAATCTCTCGTTATGCCAAAAATGGAATAAAAATATACAAAATGCGCAAAACTAAATAAAATGACAAAGCACTGCAAAAACAGGCCCAATATGGAAGTCACTGCCCAGCTCTGAGGCAACATTAAATCAAAGACGTGTTTAGGATGGAAAAGGCTTCCAAGAGCACAAAGTCCGACCCTTTATTCAGCACTGGCAAGTCCAGCACTAAACCGTGTCCCTGAGTGCCACAGCTGCGTGTCTTTTAAACTCCTCAGGGATGGTGACTCCACCACTCCTCTGGCCAGCCTGTTCCAGTGCCTGACCCCCTTTTCTGTAAAGGCATTTTTCTCACTGTCCAATCGAAACCTCTGCTGGTGCAACCTGAGCCCACTTCCTCTCATCCTGTTACTTCTTAGCTGCGAGAATTCCTGCCTGGCTACAGCATCCTTTCAGGGAATGGTAGTTTCTCAGCTGAAACTCCTTTTTTTTTCAGGCTAAATAGCCCCAGCTCCTTCAGCTGCTCCTCACCTGAGTTGTGCTCCAGACCCTTCCCCAGCTCTGTTGCCCTTCTCTGGACACACTCCAGCCCCTCAATGTCCTTCTTGTGGTGAGGGGCCCAGAACTGGGCACAGCTCTCGAGGTGTGGCCTCACCAGTGCTGAGTACAGAGGGACAATCCCTGCCCTGTTCCTGCTGGCCACACTGTGTCTGATCCAGGCCAGGATGCCATTGGCCTTCTTGGGCACCTGGGCACACCCTGGCTCATGTTCAGTCACTGCTGACCAACATCCATTTTCCACCTGACAGCTTTCCAGCCTCGTGTCCCAAGCCTGGAGCATTGCTGTGCCACTCTCAAAGTTTTTCCTTGACACCAGAGCATGACAGCAAGTGTGGAGAGAGGGAGATTGAGGGTCCAAGCCACCACAGCGGGGTGTGACAGTGGGTGGGAAAGCACTGCTGAGGCAGCTGCCCCGCACTGGTGTCACTCACCCCAGGTCCTTTTGTCCTTCTGGGGACAGTCTGACTGAGGGCAGCTGCCTGCAGGCTCTCATCCACACATGACCCCTTAGGAAAAGGCTTGCACAGCTTCCACACCGAGGTTTAGAGGTTTGTCACCCCATGACTCAGGGCTCAGCTCAGGCTCTTGCTGTGGCCTGATGTGGCTATGTCTGCCAGAGGAAGCTGTGAGGAAGTGCTTGAGCTGAAGCCACGACACAAATGAGTGGAAGCCACAGGCATGTGTGATTATTGGAATGGAAATAGTCCGCAGCTCAGAGATTCGAGGGGAAGTCTACTGATGTCCTTAAACCATAAGAAGAGAACAGAAGCAGAGGCTCAGAACACAGCAGCCAAGCAGCAGGGAGAGTCAGACTTCTACAAGGAGCAGCACGGGATGCTTCTTCCCTGCCTTGCCCAGGACAACTGGCTCCTCAGACACTCACTGCTTTTTGCTGCAGGGCATATTAGCACTCAGCCTGGTAGTGTGTTAGCCCTAGCTGCTGTGTTCATCAGCTAACAAATAGTTACTCATTGCTCCGATGTCTATCCACTTGCAGAGTACCTCTGTGCTTGGTAAAAGTCTGTCCCAAATGACCCAAATCAGGAGGTTGTAACCCCTATGATGTAGGAACCAGAAGCAGGAGCTGGTGGGATGGAGCTGGCTTCGTTCAGTCCCAGCCTGGCAGAGACCAGCTGTTGTTGTATGTGACTGAGTCAGGCATCTTCTCTCTTCAGAGGGTGGTGCCTGAGTGGTGCCAATGGGGCAATGGCCTTGGAGAAACTTTGGCTGAAGTTATTAGGCAGCTACTTCTGTCACAACACATGCATTGGCTTGTTCAAAGACTCAGAAATCTATCATGTTTTCGTGTTTTATTTCAGTTTTTGGAAGTTGGAAATACCATCATTGTGCACACAGGAAACCAGAGGCACTCCAACTTTGGCTAGTTTCTAGTAATGCATAGGCGCAAACTAATATGTGTATAGCCTTATTTGAGACTTACATTTTGATTTACTATAAATCTCTCCACACACACCTCTCAGGTAAACCAGAAAATCACTTTTTACCAAGCAATTCTTGAAATAGTTACTAAGCTTATTTGTGATGGTTTTAATTTATACCTTAATTTGTGCAATTTTCCAATGACCTTGCATACCTGCTTCTTCTTCTTTCTACTTTTCATTCTGTGAAATAAAAGTTCTGGTATAGCCAAGAAACTGATTCCAAGGCATGGATTCATGGAGTTTGTACCCTAAGAGATCTGCTATGTAACAGAAACTCAATAGGAATTAAATCACTGGATTTTATTCAAGAGTTGGCATTGGTTTGTGGTCAGGAACATTTGTAGTAGTTAATAATTTTTCTAATCAGTTTTGTTTATCCTGGTAGTTCTGGTTGAAGGTGATTTATATATATATTTATATTTTGGAACTGAAATGTGTATGCTTGTGCTGCCTGCCATCTTTCTCTATCTGCCCCTTGTTTACCCCTCTGGAAGCTGCTCTTCAAGGTCAAGCAAATTTGGCATGTAAATTTCCTGGAATTTTGATAGAAATCAGTGGCTGGATGATATATTGAAAACCCTACTTGGGGGAATGCTGCTCTGATCCATTCTAAAAAGCCAACTGACCTATCACCAAACACATGGACATAAATCTATAGAGATGTCTCATTTCTCAGGAAACAGCTAGAATTATGCATCTGTTTTCAATGAAATTGCTTTAGAGCAGTGACCTGACAAAAAACAGGTTTGTCTAGGAACTCATGAAGTTGGTTTCTTGAAACATGGATGAATCATTTAATGAATTTGAATTACAGAGAAAATGAGATTATGAACTATCAATGTTACTGTCAATTCATAAGGAAATGCACGCTATGGCAAGAGAGCTTGGTAGGATCCTGAAACTATTTTATATTGATGCTGTCAGGTTATTTATTTGCTTTGGAGTTGCTATAGCATAAATGAGTTCTGTTTTGAGTTTGAGCTGGTCTGGTGGACTGAAGCTGTCAGGGGTCAGGAGCATGTAACATGGTACAAGCAGGGGTGAAACTCACCTGTAGGAGAATGGAAGCAAGAGTTGAGGAAGCAGTAAATTCAGCCATCCTGATTTAACTAATCACCAGCTGCTCTCAGCCCACCCAGGTGCCCACTGGAGGCCTCAAGTGGCTGCTGTGGCGTGCAGCTGTGAGTGTGAGGTACAAGGTGTGCACCTGTCAGCATAAAGCTGAACTGCCACATAGCCTCTGCCTCCTCACCTGGGCTGGGGATGGGACAGCAATGGAGTCAAGCCTCAAGCAAGAGAAGCTTTGACATAGTTTTTCAACTGGCAAATGTTAATGGAAATTAGTGTTAATGGAATGTGGTTGATGATCACCTTTGAAGTCCTTGGCCCTGTTTAATCTTTCCCAGAACTCAAACATCAGGGATGTGAGCTGTTAAATTAATGAAGGGCATCTGTGACAAATCAAATCAAAGAACTCCAAAGCTCCACAACTGAAACACAGAATGGTGAAGCAGGAGATAACAGTGCACGGTACCACTGTCAGGCTCTAGTCATTAGGTAGCATGTTAGGGGGATGACTTCCCAGTGTGATTGCAATTCAAGTGCTTGGGAGCTCTACAGTAAAATGTAGTGAGAAAATAGGACTACATGAAATGGGGTGTTCAAATGACAAAGATGTACACACTAGAAATTTACAGATGTTCTTCAAAGTACAACAGAGATAGCTGAGAAAAAAAAAAAGATAAAGCCAGCACTGGAAAAACTGACACAGTGCCAAAGTTGAATATAGCAACACATTATCAGCTCAGTGATAATTACACAATTCACAGTTACAGTTCTTGGAAATTATTCCACAAGAGAGGCTCATTTTGATTAAAGCCTCATAACCCTAGTTCAAGGATTTCTTTTTTCAGCTGGAATGCCATCTGCAATATGTAAATTAGCGTGTGTGTTACATTTTCACTCTTTAAATGACAGTTTCTCATTGTGTAGAAGTACCAGCCATAAGATGTGCTCATTGTGTTTCAGTACAGAAGGTGACCACCAAAGCTCTAGGTGTGACTGGGGTTAGAGCTCTTTCAGCACATCACAGACTCCTGTGAGACAGTGGGAGAATGACTGTCTACAATGTCTGTGTTACATTTCCTTCCTAGGAAAACAAGAAAGAGAAAAGACCAAACAGGAAATATCATTATGCCATTGTATAAATCCATGGTGCACACCTATCCGGGATAATGATTGGCTAGTCTGTCTTAAATATAAGAACCAGGGGATTACTGATGAAAAGAACAGAAAGTAATGGATAACAGGAGAGAATAAATTTGTATGCAACACATTGAGAAACTTGGGAGATGTGTGAAAGTCAAAATTACTGTGATTCACAGAAGAGTCAAACAAGTTCATAAAGATGTGCTTGTCTCTCTTAATCACAATATTCAGGTTTTAGTCATAACTCAGGATCCTAAATAAATTCAGACCCCCTAAATCACCAGAGCACACATGCTCCTACTCTCCATGGTTATTGAGACATACTTCAAATTTTTTTATTTTTTTTTCTTTTTTTAGCAGTGAAATGTAAAATAGCAAAACAGTGGCTTGCATATTCTGTGTTGCAGACCTTGGTTCATTTGTATTACTGTATCCCAGTAAAACCATCATACCTGATGATGTCTGCCAGAAAAGCACCACAAGGCAGGAACTAATGAGTCCAAGACTTAAGCAGAGAAAATTTCAGCCAATTAGTAGAATAACCAGATAGCTCATTGCTGCCTCAGCCAAGGCTGTCTTGTCAATCTTAACAGGCCAC